TTAGACTGAGGGAAAAAAGCCAAAGATCTTTTCAGACTCACAAAAAAACAAAACAAAAAAAAAACAATAATAATTAAAAAACTTTTTTATTTGTTCCTTGTTTGACCTTAAATCACAGTAAAGTGTAAAGTGAAAACCACACAAACATATCCAATGAAATATCAACACTCAAGTTTATTTGTTTCAGATTTTCTGGGCAGTATGTACAAAAAAAGCAGTATTTACAGTGATGATGATTGCACAGGAAGAGGTCACAGAAGCAGCAGATAAAAGGAAAGCATAACAATGTCTAAAAATTCATACCCTGTTATCTGTATGGATTTTGTGCTGCATCTCTCTTTTTTACCCCAGACAAATTTAACTTCTGCACAGGAACAGCAAATTACAGTCATGTACACGGACAATGCAAACAAATGGTGCTAAAATCATCCACAAGGGGGCAGAAAAGGCCTGCGCAGAGCAAACAAAGGCAGACTAAAAACAAACATTGTTGAGTCTATTTTTATTGATCTACAACCGATCCCAGTACCTTTAGGGGTTCTAGTCATGGTGTTAGAAATTCTTTGTACCAGTTGTAATTATATCCAGTCTTTTAGTCCAGTACGAAACAAAAAAAAAAAAAAAAAAAAAAAAATTGGAAATAAAGCCCAAACACAAAGATTTTTTTTAATGCAATGCACCCCTCAATGACTGTCTGAAACCTCAGACTTCACAGGCAAAATGAAACTGTTGTTAGACAGGCTTCAGGGCATGCTTGGAAAATGTTTCGAATATGATCAAAAATGCCACACAAATTAAAGATTAGGAGGCAAAAAATGCCCCTAAACTATTGTAGTCTTTGCAATTGATGCGAGATATCAAAAGGAAAAGTGTCAATTTGCGGCATTACGTTTAGATCTAAGCACATTGCATCAGCTTTCTTTTTATGGACTTGTTTAGCATTTTTTTATTTTGCAATTCTTGTGTGTGAAACATTACTATTGTGGGATGTTATAATGATTTTAAATAGCTGCAAACATATTTTAAAATGTAATATGTTCCTGTGATGGCAAAGGTGAATTTTAAACAACCATTTTTATAGTATTATTTTAGAAATAAGACAAATTAAGACACATTACACTGCCTTTAAAGGGGTCATGGACTAGCTCAGTCTTATTTTTTGTACTGTTCTCTAGCATCTACTTTTAATGTTATCTGGATATTTCTGAATGAATAAATATCACAATTTAGAAGCAACTGCCTATTTTCTGTCCTGTTTTTGACTCCTTATCAGAATGATCAGGTTGAGTAGGCGTGGCAAACAGGTAAACACCCACTGCTATGATTAGCTAACCGTATTGCATATTAACAGGGCTAAACAGCCAATGAAGTTAAAGCAGGTGTCAATCATCTATGCAGGTGAAGCTTGTCTATCCTGCTATATGTTAGAGCATTTCAAAACTTGTAATTTCAGCAGACCATCTTAAATTTAAGCTGTTTATGAGCTCTTATATCTTAGGAGATCACAGGAATTTAGGTTTCTTAGCTCATGACTTTTTTTTTGTTTTTTAAAGAATTTATCAGATGAAGGCAGCTTAGATTTAACATTACATAAATATTGTATGGGGTTCTGTAATGGCATTTTTTACCTTCATACACTGAAAAAAAAAAGATTTACCTGCTTGTTCAACTCTTAAGGCTTTTTGGGACAACTTAATTGTTTTATGTTCAATCCACTTAAATTTTAGGTTAAGTTAATAGATTTGTGTTGTGGCACCATAAAAAAAAACAGCGTTTTTTTTTTAACAGTTATTTTGGCCTGTGAAGCATTTAGGTTTCAGACTGCCAGAGTCTGCCATCAGGAAGGATCAATTATAGAAACTATATAAAACAAACATGGATCAATAATGAGGTCTACATAACATCTTAATGGCGTAGGACGAGGGGCAGTAAAAAGGCAGTTTAATGAAAGCCGGTAAGGCTAATCTCAATGTATCATAAACAGATTAAAAAATATCCTGCAAAGCTTTCCCCCTTCATACATTTTGACACTTATAGTAAGGCAACCCCAGACTACTGCCATATTTAAGCTCCATTCAATGCTTTTGCCTTTAATGGAAAGAGCAAACATTGACTGATTTTTGGCATTAATGATTGGTTGATTCGCAACAGCAAATTTGTTTTTATCTTTTAAAGAACTGTCACCTTGGCACACATTAAACCATCCGTACTTTCAAACAGAAAGCAAAGAGCCATTGGAATCAAATCAATATAAGGAAATCATCTCCACTTCAAGATTTTGCAAATTTCCTTCTTTTCTAGAGAAGCAAGAGAATGAACGGTGCTCTATAGATGAATCTCAACACCTCTTGCTTTTATCAAGAGCTGCTTATGCGGCAAACACTTCAACAATCAACATGTCGAACTGATCAATCAAAGCTGAGCATGAACCATGACTGACGGTTAGTCCTGCTTGGTTAGCTGGTTAGGAAACTGAGCTGAATTAGTACGTTTACTCACTGTTGCTGTAACACTGATATGGCTACATTTTGTATTTTTATTTTTTATTTTTTAATGGGGGAAGGTAAGGCATCTGCAATTTCTAATCTAATATATTCAGAGGATGTCTGTCACACTTCACAAAACTGTCACATTTTTCTGCTAATCAAAATACGGTTATTTTTTTTTTTTTTACTCGCACTCATTAAAATTCCCCATTTCTCCATGCATTGATGATGGCAGATGGAGAAGTTATTTAAGAGTAACAGCATCCTTCAGTTTCTGACATCTTGCATCATTATTTCCTCTATTTTCTCTATGCTGAAAAAATCTCACCAAATCAGATGTTCTAAAAGAAGCTATATTAAATAAAAAGAGCTAAGGATGCATTGTCAGTACCATATCAACATAGGCTCGTTGGAAATACATGCTGTAGCGGCTGTAGCCTACTTTTTGCACAGTTCAGATGGTAAGTCCAGAAGAGGGCGCTGTCTACATTTTAGAAAATCTACAATATGTATGTTTTGTTATATATTTTAGATACACTCTCTTCCTCTACATGTCCACGAGAAGATGGGACTTGTCATACAGATCACCCAGACCAGTCAACATTGACCTGAAATTTTCCCTAAACCCAATCAATAGTCATTTAAAAGCAAACATAAAAGCGTACAGCAATAACATAGATTCACGTAATCTTGTTCTTCTTCTTCTTTTTGTTTTGAGTATTTTTTTTTTCGAGAAAACGGCATGTTTTTGTGGTTTCACAAAAAGTTACACAAATCTTAAACACGTATTTCCAATGATCCTTTGCTGCCCATATCGTTTATTGCTCAAATTGTTATAAAAAATGCTCTAAATTAAATTACAATATTTTTATTTGACATTTGGATGAAACGTTAGCAGACGTTTGTAGTCTTGTAGATGTACAGAATTAAATAATAATTTGCAGCTAATGGATAATTATATTTTAATAATAATACATCCACTAAAATCTAGGCTGATTTATACTTTCGTCCAGCGCCGAGTTGCAGACTTCCACTGAGTAAGCCCGCATCTCGTGAAACAAACAATGTTTTTATACTTGTATACTTGACACGATCACCGTTGAAATATTTTTTAAAACAACAGGGGGCGGGCAAAAGAAATCGACCATAAAATCAGACAGATAAACATAGAAGTAGGAAGTTCCAGAACTACGTTATATTAATTATATCATTCAAGATTTTTTAAACTAATTTTTAGAAATTATTTTATGATTATAAAGATTTTTTATAACCATTCAAGATTTTTTTTAAACCAAACTTTGATGCATCTCTTGCTTTTGTTCATATCTTGGACAGTTCTACCTATTAATCAAATATTGATGACAACAGAACATGGAATGCTCTATAAATATATATTATTTTTATTATGGCAAGAATAAAAGAAAAAACTACACTTACTAAAGAAATACTGACTTTTATTTATTTATTTATTTTTATTTATTTAATTAGCCCACTCCGCAATTCACAAATTACTATCTGGCTAGTTTCTGTCCTCTACTTATATGCTAAAAAGGCAATAATGGTCCAACATTCCTGGCCATGATCACAAATAAAGCATAGAAAAACAGGGCATCAGTATATGAAAACTGATAGGTTCAATAATTAACAAATTATTTCTTTGATAACTGGAAAAGACTATTTTTATTCCAGTTATCAAATAAACTATTTGTTAATTAATTTGAGTTTTTTAGTTATTAAATCTAATTTAATTTAAAATTATAATTTAAACCTCAATGTAAAACCTATGAGTGTTGGAAAAAGAAAATCTGTAATTGTGTATTAAAACCATCTTTGCTATCACCTCTCTTTTTGGCATTAACAAACTTATCCCTGAAGTTTTTTATAAACTTTTCTTTTTACAAAAACTTGCAATTTCTATCCAAGAATTATTGGCCATCTGGTTATCCCTATGATCATGCATGGACAGATCATAAAGATGTCTGTATAGGCGTACCAAAATCTCTTCAAAGTGATTCATATTCAACTCAAATGAAACGCGGCGCCATGTGAATTGTTCGATTGAGTCTCAAAAATAGTCTGTGTGCTCCGCCAGCCAAAAGCATGTCACATGCACCTAAAGCGAACCTCTGCAACCACCGTAAAGAGGTTACATTTGCCGCGCACACTCAAGCAAACTAGCAGATGCATCGAGTATAAATCAGCCTTGAATCAGACTTATGGAAGCTTGTTTCTGCAAATCGTTACCCTTCATTTTTTCACTAATTTTCCTTTTTTTTTTTCTTGCAATTGCTGGTGTCATCTTACAATTCAGATTTTTCTACTCTTTCCACATATTTTGCAATTATGAAAAAAACATTAAGGAGAAAACCAGAGAGAAGTAAGAAGTTTTATCAACTGACAATTTCACAAAATAAAATTGTGAAATGAATTTGCTATTTATAGAGAAAAAGAAAGTTGGAATTTGAAGAAAAATCTGAGTCTCTGATAATGAGAATTATGTGACAAACTAAATAATTGCTGGAATCTTATTCATTCTATTTATTCAGTGGTTATTATTTCAGCATCGTTAATGATTTTTTTTCTCTGCAAGAAAACCTTTGGATTGGAGTTACTCTTAAATAATGCCAAACGATGTATCTGCACAGCACTTATGGGTTGCAATAAATCAGATCAAGGGTTTTCACACCTGGAATCTTAATGAAAAAAACATCAATATCAGAAGATGAGAAATGGCCCTGTCCCAAACAGGCACATATACTGTCTCTTGCAGACGTGCAACGACAGCATGTTTGTGATGTCCTCAAAACCTCACAGTATCCCATTTGTCATTGCAGTTTTCAGAAGGATGCTCTATGCAGCCTTTTTTCCATTTGGGACAGAGCTGAAAAAAAGCTTTCATCGTGCAAGCAGGAGAAAAGTCCTTTAGGAGAAAACTTTGTATAATTAAATTTTAGCACAGTGTTAGGACCAGCTAGTTTCACCTTTCATGAGCTCAGTGACGTAAGAGGAGCTTCTCATTCATTTACTGATGTACTCACAGAAGAGGACAATAAAGGACAAGCCTGAAGGAGGGCCAGGTTTTGGCTGTACTTTACACCGTACCGGTTCTGGTCAGGCCTGTGAGGGTAGTGATGTGCTGACAAGGCAAATGGTCACATGATCACGTTTCAGGGTCATGTATATGTCGCTCCTGCTGACGACTGGTGTCGTCATCCTCTTCTTCATCATCAAGTAATGGCACAATCTCGAGCTCTCCTTGGTTTTTATAATGGAAATGCTGTTTGGACAATATGGTGTGGATAATAATCAGCTAATGGACACTGTAATAAGCAATATGCAGAAGACATGACAAACACAGATAAACTACATTTATTATACTATACATTTATGTTCACATTATTATTTGGCTTTTCTATACAAACATATTTTTCAAATGTAGTTTATTCCTATGATGGGAGAGCCGATTTGAATGTTATTACTCAATTGAATGGGCGTTATCAGGGGTTATCAGCTGATAGATATGGGCCAGAAGGGACCTTCAATGCCTACTAGTAGGTTCAGAAGGCTGTTTTTCATCCACATGGTTAATCAGCTACGGATCACTTATGGCTACTATTCTACTTATTATGCTGATTTGTTTCCCAAGAAAGGCTTTTCCTTATCCATGCTGAAATCAGTGTTGTGATGTGTTTTATGCTCATATTCAATGTATTCAAAAAGAACAGCGTTTGTTTGAAATGTAAGACTTTGTAATAACTTTATAACCGAAGACACTATAAATGGTTTACAGTCATTTGAATGCATATTTGCTGAAAGTTACTGTCCTTATATATGTTTGAATAGTGGTGTACGTCAAATACAGATATACTGTACATCTGACTTTAAAATAAATACAAAACAATATGAGCAACATTTAAACAACCAATCAATTTAAAGCAACTGAGTTTATCTGACGAAGGCAAGTGTTTGCTGAAACTCGTAGGTGCAGAAAGGCTTTTAAAATATTTGGTCCCACTTTTTGTTAAGTGTCCTTAACTACTATGTAATTCCATCAATAAAATAAATACAATATACCTATTGTCTTTATAATGTGTTGCAGAACATTTCTGGTGCTCTTGATGTGTTATGCTGGTAGGTTTAGTACGTGTTTGGTGGTATGGGTAGGTTTAAGGGTGGGATAAGGAGTAAGGGATGGTCAACAGTTTAATAAAAGACGTATTTACAGAAATGAATTACAGATGTAATTACATGCAGGTGTTTCATCAGTCATAAGTACAATGTAAAAACATGTCTTTGCATAATAAGTACATTGTAACAAATGATTAATTTCAGTGTAACTACATATTAGTTAGGGCCACTTACAATAAAGTGGGACCAAATTTTTTTTCTCCACTTTTTTCGAGTGCCTTGGACTTATAACTTTGCTGTTTATCTTTATGAATCCCTAACCCAATGACACATTAACTACCTCTGAAGCACTTTTTGTTTGATTTTGAATATATAAAAATGTAAGTATCTTTTTCAATATTGTGTGAACAGCTTTCAGTCTCTTGATTGTTATGTGCCCACACGTGCTAGCAAGTAGCCTAATTGCTAATAACAAGGTGATTAAAGTAATTATTATAGTGATTGGGGTAACTCTTGGACTAATACATGGACTAATAACTTAAAATACTTTCCATCAATTTGGAATAAAAGGTTATGGAATAAAACACCCTAAAATGTGTTCTTTTATTCAGCCTTTGAAACTGCAACATTCATATGTAAATGACCTCTAGCACCATTATTCCTTTTATGCACTGGTCTTATATGTGCAGGTCTCATTTTAATATTTTAATATAGGCTATACAATTATAGATAAGATTACACCCCCAGATGACAAAAGAAGATGCATTAAGTCATATCTAACCTGTTGTTGGGTGTCCATAAGGTGGTCGAACAGGAAAGGCTAGCAGTTCTGCACAGACAGTAACATAACGAATGTGAGAATGGGTGGCAGAGAGCATGCATTTGCACATTATATGATTGACCAGATGCATGCACAATACTGTTAAAGAAGTTTAAGGTTGGTACAATCGCTTTTGAAAGACACTTTTTTATAACTCACTTTACTAACCCTTTGAGGTGTACACTATCTGACAAAAATGTTGATACCAGTTGTAAAAGCAACAAATAATGATTTGCCTTGATCATTTGGAAAAGTGGCAGAAGGTAGATTTTCTGATGAATCATGTGTTGAATTGCATCCCAATCACAGGACATTTCACAGAAATCAGTCAAGGAAAAATCATGGTTTGGGTTTACGCTCAGTATGGGGCATGTGAGTGATCTGCAGAGTGGATGGCAACATCAACAGCCTGATGTATCAATACATTTGTGCAGCCCATAACATTACAAACCACAGGAGAGGGCAAATTTTTCAGCAGGATAGTGCTCCTTCTCATACTTCAGCCTCCTGAATGTCTGGGGTAAGATGATGGAGGAGGCATTGAAGATGAATCCAAAGAATCTTGATGAACTCTGGGAGTCACGCAAGAACACTTTCTTTGCCATTCCAGATGACTTTATTAATAAGTTATTTAATTCACTGCAGAGATGTATGGATGCAGTCCTCCAAGCTCATTTGAGTCATACACAATGTTAATTATTTTTCCATGACTTCATATTGTATACTGTACATTATTTCTGTTAAGTGTCAAGACTAAGCAAGGTCAGACCTTACTGTCCTAATTTAATAATTAAAAATCAAGGCATTATCATATTTGGTTATGGTAAAATAAGCATAAATGGAGGTCTTTGCCTTTCATTCAAGCCACTTCTGATACCAAATGATCAACTAGAAGTTATTATCTGTTGTTCCTAAAGCCTGCGACAAGACTTATGTAAGGGTAATGTACAGTGGAGATCAATTATCCAGAAGCAAAGTATACAATTTAATTTGGTATTTTGGGAATCACAATTGGAAAAAAATTCAATCTCTCGTAACTGGGGGTAATTTTCTTAATTATCTAACAATTCCTATTTAACTGAAAGCCAAACTTTCCAATTGTCAGTGAATTTATATGATGGCAAGTTGTTCTATTGTTACAAAAAAGATTAAATCTTCACAAAAATGTTTATTTTAGTTTTTTTGTAAAACAATGATAACATTGCTAAAATTCTTAACACGCTATAGCCACAACTAAAATTCCAAATTATGCAAGATCTACAAACTAATCTATAAACGGTTTCTCTGACTTTGATTTTAACTGTATATAGAGTTCAAAATTCTAGAGTTAGCTTGCTGATGCCTAAATTCGCCTTTAGACCAGGCTACCAAGACTTACCGATGAGGATTTGTGGTCATGTGGTCGCTCAAGTTTGATGCGGATGTCTGTACGGTTTTGATCTTGGTTCTTTCCACCATCCGTTTGCTGATTTCTGCCTGGACCTGAAAGATTAGACACACAACCATAGGTTGCAGCAATCAGCAACTGTACTATGGTTTCCTTTGTATTATGTTATCTAGCTAGTTTCGCTCACCAGGAGAGCTCCCTCTGCTGGTGGTACTGTTCGTGCTCATATTGTCCTCCAGCCATGTGCTGTATGTGAATGAGTCTCGTTTATGAGGAGTATCTGCTGATGACAGACTCTCCTGATTGGGACGAATACACAAGAATTTAATAAAAGAAAAGTGCTCCAGGAGATTATTTTGTATTTGTGTGGTTTCTAGAAGCTGAAAGTGCTGTTCTCACCATGCCGGTGTCATAGTCCTCTGTGGCCTCTGTTTCGTTCTCCTCCACCACACTGGCGAAGCTGCTGGCATTGGAGGAGGAGCGGGACAGATCATGAGCCTCAGGGATGGAGGGAGCTCGACAGTACAGGTTCGAGCTACAGACAAATGCAGTACAAAAACATTGTTCTTAATGAGTAACGTGTGAAATCACACAACTCTTGCGTAATCGCTTGCATCCACCAAAACAGAGGCTGTTTAATTAAACTAAATAACTTTTAAATTCAGTTAATTAAATTCTGTGCGCCATTTTGGTCCAGTGAACTGTTTTTAAAAAACTCTCTTGAACTTTCTTACTAATAATATTGTTAATAATATCTTAATGATATCTTTCTTTTCAATGTTCTTTTCTTTTAAGTAATTATCATTTTCAGCACAGCGAAATTTCCCCTGCACGTCAATTTATGGATGTAGTATTGGTATTAATATTGGTATTTGAATGATATTTGATGTTGCCTTACAGCAGGTAGGTCGCTGGTTCGAGCCTTGGCTGCAGTGGCGTAGCGCAAAATGCGGAGGCCCCCCTGCAGGGATCACCGATGGGGCCCCCAGTTTTCAAGGGGGTCGGGGGGGTTTGGGGGCGGCAGAGCCAGAGATATACACATATACACATATATCTATGATCGGGAGTTTTCCTGGATGTTAGTATTTTTATTTTTATTTCAATTATGAAAATTATAATTTTACATCACTTTTCTACAGTGATGGATCAGTGACCGCATGGGCATTCCTGACAAAAAGCTTGTGTTTGTGTGTACAGAAATGTACTATCCACCCTCCCTGTTAAATTTGATCTAATCATGTCCTGAAACACAGCTCCTCTCCTGCTTTCACTTCTCATACTGACGGAGGGAGCGATTCGTTTGTGAATGAATCTCCATTATCAACGACTCCTTCACTAGCCGACAATAATACAAGTTTCTGGCACCGCAGCATCTCGTTGTCATATTTCTTTTTCATTGTTTGCTGATTTTATTCAACAAAACTAGCATAAGCCGAGTATTTAGTGCGAATTGGAGCTACTTTGACTTATAGTGAATGCAGTAAGTGGCTGTATTAGTATCAATAACGCTACCTGTTTAGCACAAATTTCAGAACATACAAAAACGTAAAAAACTTAATCCTACCTATGGAATGTTCTGCCTTTGTGCTTTGTTTTCTTTGTTTGCTCGTTACTACACTCGTAGACAGCGCTACAGTCCCGCATCTTCACGTAATTGTCTAGTGCGACTGAATGACTTTTGTCCTGGGAGCACTGTCCCAATGTGGCGGCGCTATTGACGCATGCTCAGGGTCCCTATGCGATATCTAGTGTATATATCTATGTCACAAATTGAGGTGCGGGGAAAGGAGGCGGAGTGGAGCGACAACGCGGGGAATCCTTCACAAACTGAGGAGCGATCACAAACCGAAAGCGGCGAGAGCGTCAAAGTAGCCAGAAGTCATTCATTTTTTAACGAGAACCGGCGGCGAGAAACAGCGGCGCGTCTTCATTGGCTATGACGCGGTTCGGCGGCAAGCAATCAGAATGAAGTAGTCCACCGCTTGAGAGGTGTTCGGAGAACACAGACCTGTGAACTTTGGTTCCGTCCACAGTTGTTCCCAAGAGTTTGATTATTGCGGTTCCTGGATTTTCAATTTTTGAATATCGCGACGACGTGGGGCCCCCTAATCACGCGGGGCCCCCCCGCGGTGCGTGCCCTGCGGGCCCGTCCGCTACGCCACTGCTTGGCTGGGTCAGTTGGCATTATGTGTAGAGTTAGCATGTTCTCCCTGTGTTTCGTGGGGGTGTCCTCCAGGTGTTCTGGTTTCCCCAAGTCCAAAAATATGTGATAAAGGTAAATTGAGTAGGCTAAATTGTCCGTAATGTATGTGTGTGATTGTGTGTGTATGGATGTTTTCCAGTGATGGATTGAAACTTAATGGGCATCCATATGCTGGATAGCTGGTGGTTCATTCTGCTGTGGCAACCCCAGATTAATAAAGGGACTAAGCTGAAAAGAAAATGAATGAATGTTACTTTACTGTCTTACTAAAGCTAATTAAATAGCATTTTGTGTGTATGTGTATTTAATTTACATGGCTTTTGATAAGCAAGTAGACTCAAATTTTATATAGGATTATTGCTTAGCTGTCCTTAGAGAGTGTAAAACTTTGTGCTCTGCATTTCAATTTCTTTACTTGAGATAATGTAGAAAAGCCTACTAAGAAACTTGTCGCCTGCTAATCAAAAACAAAGAAGAGCTGAAGAAACGTTAATAATTATTACCATTTGTGTATACTTTATGTCCTTCGAGCTTTATGTTCTTCAATGTTTATATTTAATTGAGTTTAAATTAAAACCCATACTCTGTGAGAATATGTGGTTTGCATTTTATGACGAATCAAGTAATTTGTAGATTTTCCTCCTCCCAATATATCATGATTTTCCTCAAATGTTCATGGTTTATATGAAATTTTAAGCAAATATTGTGAAAATATTCCTTCTCTGAACAAGACTATATAACTAAAAACTAAACACTACTTTATAATTGTAAGTTTAAACCAGGAATTCCCAAAATAGGGCCCGCGGGCCAAAGTTGGCCCAACCACAACCAATGATTGGCCCACCATTCCATCTGAGAGGAAAGTGAGAATAATGGAAAGGGTTGGGGGAAACACCTTCAACACAGAGATCATCATTTCTAATTTGACATAACCTGTTTTGTTGGTTTTATTGCTGAGCTACAAAAAAGCAAACTGAAAATAATTGGTTTAATTAAATGATGTAAATAAATCTGATTTTTTAAAAATGTAAATACTGTCATTTGACGGATACTGGAATACTATGCAGAAGACGTTGGCAAGCAAATCAAGGCAAAAATAAGTTTAATTCTGTTATAAACTAGATTGTTCTGTTTTTACTATAATAAGTTCATTATAAATGTAAAAAGAATGTGTTAGTTAATATAAAGCAATGTTTTCTAGTCATTTTTAAATTTTATTGAATAGGTTAGGAAATTATCCACGGCAACTATATTTATTTTCAGTCCTCTAGCCTCAATCAAGTTGGGCTTTTGGCCCTTCATAAGAAAAAGTTTGGGCACACCTGGTTTAAACTAAGGCTGCACGATATTATAAAAAATGTGAATATTGTTTTTCCGTGATATATAGTGTAATATGAATATCATTTCAGAAGATGTGTTGAGTAACTCTATTTGGAAAGAATTCATCATTTTACATTGAGTGGAGTAATTTTTAGGGGAGTGCATCTGCATAAAATATACAAAACAGTACTAACACATAATTAAGTACAATATAATAACGATATTAACTAAATTAACAGTGTGTCATGGATTTCCACACAGTCTAACAGCAATGAGTGTCAGAAATGCAAAAATTAAATGTAAAATAACACTGTGTAGTCTACATTGAGTAAATAATTAAACACAATTAATCTTTGTTTATGTAGTAAACTTAAATTCATGAGCCCAAATTGTTTAAGTTCACTTGACATCTTAATCACAGGCCTTAAAAACACATAAGTATGAAAATCGTTCACACTAATAGAACCTATTAGATTCGGTCATGCTGTATTCATCCCAAAATGACATTGCAGATCCTGCGATGTGACTATTGCAGATTCAGACATTGTAATATCGATGCTGAAACGACATATTAAGCAGCCCTAGTTTAATTCAATCCATAAAACATATAAATAACTAAATCAGATGAAGGTTAATGTATTTTTACTAGACCTGTTCTTTGTGATGAGGACCTCAGGAGAACTCTGATTGGATGAATTCTCTGACTTGGGGTCCTGGGAGGCATGGCCACTGTCAGGGGTCTTCTGTGTGCTTGGCGAACACTCTCTGCTGCTGCATACACGAACACAAACACACACTGACCATCAGAGGGCGGCAGATGCATTGCGATTACAACTCTACAAGTCAAAGGTAAGGTGACAGAGTCCAAGCTCAACTGCAGTCTACTCAGAATCAGGTTAGGCTTGATGCAACAATACATGCTGATTCACATCACTACACTGAAACACATCAGTAACATCATTCGAAGGGCCTGTAAGTACTGAAGCACATTTGACAAAGGCCTGCTCATGCAAAATCAGTCAAAAAAACAAAAACGCTGATTGGCTGACCAACAATCAGCATGTTGATTTTGCATGTGTAAAGGCCATTTTTAATGTGCTGAAGGCCATAGGTTTTCAGATGCATTTCTATGGCCAGGTAAGGAAAGCAGCTAAAGTCTACGGTTAAAGAGGTGTCATTTTATGGTGGCTTTTATACTTGGAGGGATCCACGATGAGCCTCCCATTCCTGAGAGTGACGCTGGGCAGAGAGAGACAGAGAACTGTCCTGTCCTCTGACAACAGAGCAGCAATTCTTCAGCAAACACATAAACACACACAAAACAGTAGAATATTATGCTCTGTAGTTCGCCTGTAACTTTATTATTTTTTAATAAATGTCAATTTTGCATCATAAAAAAGTTAAATAGCAATGAACAATTCCTTAATTTTATATATAATTTTTAATTTATTTTTCACTGCTGCACTGATGCACTTTATAATAAAATATAAACACATGATCAAACAAACAAACAAACAAACAAATAAATAAATATTTTGTTATAAATGTTTTGTTAATGTTGCATCTGCATCTATCTTTAGTTACATTACATACCAATAATGGCAGTAAAAAATTACGAATTACTAATTCATATTCAGGTATGGAATTTAATAGTTGGTCTTCTTTGCTTAACTTATGTATCTCTCTGACAAAAAGATTACCTCTGGTTGAGCTGACACAGAATGAACAGTTTATGAATTGAAAACAGTTGTAAGAATTAAGGCCCCAATATACTTCTATTTAGAACAGGTGAAGCCATTTTAAACTAAAATCCGGCCAAAGTATAGCTTGTTTGGAGTTTGTTTTTGAAGTTTGAAACCATTTCAAAAAGTAAACATTTATAAACTACCATAAGTTAGTGGTGATGATGTAATAATTAGGGTGTGGCACAGAGGCCCCGCCTTCTTTGATAAGAAAAGCTATTTCTTTATTAGTCCATTGAGGAGAGACGTCAACACGTTAAAAAAAACCTTAAACAGAAGAGATGCAAAATAGCTGAAGTTCTAATTTTGAAGTTCTAATTTTAATTGAAAGAAAAACTGACAATTTTTTTTTATGTTTAATACTGTTAATCCTGATCATCGTATTGAAGTTTGTACTGGTGAAATTTGTTTCTCACTACTGTTGCCTGACAGAACCTGAATGGGAGACCACATGGAAAACCTAGGTTGCTGCTGGAAGTAGCGTTAGTGAGGCCAGCAGAGGGTGCTCAACCTGCGATCTGTGGGTCCTAACCCACTGCTATACTGGGGACTATACTGCTATATTATACTGCTCAGTAAGTGCCGTCTTTCAGATCTGAGATTATTCGATGTCCTGATTCTCTGTGGTTGTTAAAAATCCCAGGATGTCCTTTGAAAAAGAGTAAGGGTTTAATTCCAGCATACTGGCCAAATTTGTCCACTGGCCTCCGTTCATCATGGCCTCCTAACCATCCCCATACCATAATAGGCTTTATCACTCCTTTCCACCAATCAGTTGGTGTGTGCTGTGCAGTCTGGCGCAATATGGCTGTTGCATCCAGGTGGATGCTGCACAGTGGTGGTGGATGAGGAAATTCCCCTTAATGTGTAAAGGCTGATTTATACTTCTGCGTCAAACGCTGGCGTATGCTACGGCGCTGACGCATAGCCCTTCGCCGTGGCCGTCGCTGACGTGCACCTCTCAAAAATTGTAACTACACATCGCAACGACGCATAGTGCAAGCTCTGTGATTGGTCGGCTTGGTAGCGCTGACGAGTCTGGGCGGGACCGAGAGCCGCGCAAATGACGCGAGCTGGACGCGAGCCCAATGGAGCGATTGTTTACAAGTGTGGAGTCCCGTGAAGGAGCTCCTGATGGAAAGTTTTGTTTTGTGTTTACCTCATAGTTAAAGTTGTTGCACGTCTGCCTGTTCCTGCCTCAAAATGAGCGAGTTTGAGCCACTTGTACAACCAGGAAGTTTTCAGGAAAAGCAAAACAGAAGCGAAGAAACTCGACACAGAGGAACATTTACACCTCACTGCCAACTAGCGTTTCGGAAGTGTTAATGCAGACCAACAGAGACAGCGCGCAGAAGTATAAATGCACAGCCACGCGCGTTGCCTGCGCCGTGAGTTACGCCGGTCACTTGACGCAGAAGTATAAACCAGGCTTAATGCGTTTTAAGTGTCCAGAAAAGTGCTATAGAAATGTAAGGAATTATTATTACTGGCTTGTTTGGTTTAGAACTTGTGGAGCTTTTCATCGATGGATTTGATCTTCAGTGTTTGGACTTCCAGCAGTGAAATTTACCCAAACTGAACTGAACTAAACGGAACTTCAACTCTGAAAACTGGACTGACACATTTTTTAGATATATATTAAAACTTTGTTAAGCTGCTTTGACACAATCTACATTGTAAAAGTGCTATAGAAATAAACATTAATTAAATAAATCACAGAACCCCATGGTGCATACCTCGCATTCCCAAATTATTCATCCTGAGCTCTTCTGCAAGACTCCACATTTGTTAAACTCCTGCCCCTGGCCTTACACCACTTCCACAGTTCTCATCCCTGCCCACACTTATCACAGCTGCCAAACTGACCAGTCATAGATCTTGAGATCTTGCCATTCAACGAGAAGTTTAATCTGGCCCTAAAGGGATAGTTCAGCCAAAAAATATTTTTTACTTAATGTTAACTCCAAACCACTTTGGAACCATTTGAGATATTTTGAGGAAAGCCAAATTCCAGTAACCATTAACTTCCATAGTATGAAATACTAATACTATGGAATTAAATGGTTGATTCAAGCTTATTTCAAAAGATCTTCCTTTGTTTGTAACAAAAGAAACAAGTTCAGAACAAGTAAAGGATGATCATTTAATTGTAGTGTTTCAATTTTGACTGAACTCTCCCATTAAATCTGCTTGATTTAGGCCTGTAGCAGGCCACTTTCCTAAGTGATACAGTATTTAAATAAAAGTGATATGACTACACTGAATTGCAATGCCTGTGCAAGCATCTACATTGCTATATATATTTTTTTTTAATTGCCTTTTTTTCCCACTACAGTTTATTTCATTATGAGTATATTGGGGTCTTTAAGTGTCTTTAGATCTGGTGTCCAAAAGTCGGTCCTGGAGGGCCGATGTCCTGCTGAGTTTAGCTCCAACTTGCCTCAACACACTTGCAAGGGTGAATCTACAAAGCCTAGCAAGAGCTTGATTGGCTAGCCCTGGTGTGTTTGGTTGTAACTGGAACTAAACTTTGCAGGAAACCAGCCCTCCAGGACCAAGTTTGGGCATCCCTGTTCTAGATTATGGGTTTTAAATTCGATTCCTGGAGGGCCGCAGCTCTGTACAGTTTTACTCCAACTTTAACCAAACACAGCTGATCCAACTAATCAAGGTGTTCAAGACTAGAGACTATTAAGCAGGTGTCAGCTGCAGGTGGTTGGAGCTAAAATCTGCAGAGCTGTGGTCCTACAGGAATTGCGTTTGAGACCATTGATCTAGATCTTAAGTGACAGTGGAATTTTAGTGCATTTGCATCCCCTGAGTTTCCTCCTCCTCTTACCTCTTCTCCTGGACCTCCTGGATGTTCTCAATGCCGATAGCACTGCTACGCCGAGAACTGAAAGGTCCTGACTTTTTCCTGGTTGGGCTTTTTCCGGGAATAATCAAAGACTGCAGGAGGAAAAAAGAAGGTCAGTGAGCTCAGGATACAAACTTATGGATACTGTGAGGGTCACTGTGAGGTCTCGAAAGAGAAACCCTGTATAGGTCAGGTCTATATTACCGCACTCGCAATCATAGTCTGTTATTTCTTCTATCTGTGCTGCACTCCAGTGTTTTGGAGAACAAAAGACGTTGTTTCGTAACTTGACTGTCAGGGTGAATGTGAAGTGTGTGTTTGAGGGTTTGGGCCTGAACAGAGAGAGATGAAAGATGGACGCGGGATCTCCTGAGCTTCACGGACCGGCTGTGCTCTCGCCGGGGACACTTTGTTCTCTTCAAGGCTCAGCGCTGGGACTTTTACAACCACTGCTTTATGACTTCAAATGAAAGGCCTTCAAAAAAGGCTTTTATCTAAAACGGCTTCAAAGGCTTCGGAAAGACTCTGTTGAGTTTTTTTTTCTTTTGTGTTTCTACGCTTTTAGCTTGCTAAGAGTGTACAATTATCAGACGAGGGGATAGAAATACATAGTACATGACAAGAAGTGACATAGGACATTAAAAAAACAGAGCGGGGTGAATACATTTAATGCAGGAAGTTATGCTGGAGGGGAGCTATGATGAAATTGGTAAACAATAAACACTGAAATACTGAATATAGATGCACATAAGGGCTTGAATGTAAATATAACCCATAATATTATGCATTAAAAAAAATTATGTAAGCCAAATAAATATGCAATATACTGACTGACAAAATGCTTACTTTCAGTGGCTTACAGTAGAGATGTAGCGTGATTGGGTTATGACTGGATAATATGGTATGGGGTAACTTAAAATGAGGGATGCACGGTTCCTTTTGGGTTATCTGTAGTATTTAATTTATTTAATATATTTTTTAAGAGTATATTGTTAATGATCCATATTGGTCAAAATTCAATTATGAATGCATGTTTCCCCTTCTTTTACATTTCATAAACACACATTTAAATTGTTCATAATTAAATTAAACAATAATAATAATAATAGACACAATAATACCATTTTAACACTGTAAATGTAATGCTTGGTAAATCACAACATCCATTTTCATATAATTGTGTTATTGTCGACAGTCTCAGAAATAAAAGTGCAGTATGAGAGCTGTCACTGGGGTGGTACCTTTTCAAAAGGAACACATTTGTACTTAAACGGTCCATATTGGTGCCCCAAAGATATATAGTAGTAGCTAAAAATTCCAAGAGGACACTTGAGATATTAATAAGGACCCTTTAGTTACTTTTGAAAAGGTACCACCCCAGCAACAGCTCTTGTACCATTATTTTTGACAGTGTAAATTCACTTTTACACCAATATGGACCCTTTCAGTACAAATGTGTTCCTTTTGAAAAGATACCACCCCAATGACAGCTCTCAGTACCTTTATTTCTGAGAGTGTAGACAATAACACAATTATGTGAAAATGGATGTTACCTTTGTGATTCACCAAGCATTAAATTTACATTGTTAAAATTATATTATTGTGTTAATTATTGTTATTATTATTATTATCATTCAGCTTTTTATGATGTAAAAGAAGGGAAAACATGCATTCATAATTTAATTTTGACAATGTAAATTCACTTTTAGCTAATAAAAATGCTGATTTCATTTGATTATTTTTTTTGTAATATATTATTAATAACTGCTTTTAGAAGTTATATTCTGAATACTCATTTCCTCTACTTTTACATTTAACTTTGCTGCTATGTTAAGCTCAGTTAAAATCTTTAACATACTAATATTGATTAAAAATACTATGTTCATTAGTTTAAAAATATTTACCCTTACAAAAACACAAAATTTATTTTATATATTATATATATTTTTTATTATTTATTGGTTATCTGACATGATAGTAAATCTCAATTAATGAGAGATTGTCCAGATCAACTTTGCATCACTTAAATCTTAATAATCTCACTAATCTTACTTATTAAGTATAATCTCTAATAAATATTTATTAAATTCTTATATTTAATTTAATATAGTTATTTATTTAACCCAATAATTAAGTTAAATTAGTTGGTGCTTTGTTGGGTTATTGTTATCCTTTATTGGGTCATTTATTTAATAATTCAACCAGTTAAAATTTTTGAGTTTCAACAGTCTGATTTAGAACTGATTTAACTGACACAGAACAGCTGTATTAAAGTGCGTACGTAATGTGTTGTTTTTGCCCTATAGAATTTATTTAAGCTCTAACGCAATAATGTTGTTTTTTTTAAATCAAATTACCTCTCCATGTCATGTGTTTTTAATCCGTACACCAGCACTATAAATTGATGATACAAACTCACACTTCCTAGTCGATCTATATTAAACCAATAAAAACACTTAAGTGTCTAGAACTTAATAAAGCATTTTCAATAGTTTTGAAAACCTTATGTTATGTATTTACACAGCCATACTTATAAAATTAATAGTACTACTAGTAATAGTAGCAATAGTAATACCAGAATGGAAAAAATATATATTTAATCAAAATAACCCAATGCATTTTGTTAAAATATACCATAGTTGGGAAGGTGCTACAGTTGGGTTATTTGTTGGGGTATTTTTAACCTAAGTATTTTAACTGAGTTATGTATTATTTAATAACACAATTGTTTTAAAAGTACTTACAAATATACAAATTAAAAAGATGTCATTGATTAAAATGACAGGCAAACAGAAGGTCTATGATAATATTGAATTAAAAACAATTACGCCTGTAAAAGGCTGTTCAGATTAGAAATATATTTTTTCACACACTGCTATAAATCTCTGTATTTTCAAACAATTTACAGTGTACAAACTCTAATACAACAACAACAACAATAATAATAATAGTAATAATAATAAAACCAATTAAAACAGAAGCCCATTTATCATTAACAGCCTTGTTTTAATTTTTATTGAACTAAATCTGCAATCTTTGTTAACTATGACATTTCATAATCCAATGATTTATAATATTAATGTTTTGAATTATAGTGAGTAGAGTTAAAGGGCCGTTAGTTAATTTAATGGCTATTGTATATTGTATAAGTGATGTGCAGCTCATGCAGTGAGAAACAAGTAATGCAGATGAGAGAGGAGTGAGAGAGTTATACATGAACCTCTTCTATGGTTCCTATTCCTATGGCACTGCCACGCCGTCCATATTTACTGGGACTTTTGCCTGGGACAAGCAATGACTGCACAGAGCCCAACAGAGAAAGAGAGAGAAAACCAGAGAAGTCATGAGTCCATGCAGCAGGTTATGCGTTTTACAAACAGTCATCAAAGCACAAACAGAAAGAAAAAAACAACAACAACAAAACACCACAGATCGAGTAGCCAACAGGTGGAGAAACAGGCCAGAGGAACCACAGCAGGTATGGCGAGCTGTGAGGGACAAGAAAAGCTGAAGGAGGAGCATATACAACAGCACATCGCCAGAAGACAACGGGACACTTCAACAGCATTTAACAGTTAGTCAGGTTAACAACATTTGACAGGTTAATCAGACACAGGAAATTCATATGCATCAGGGTGTTACATGAACATTTAGGAGATGTAGACATGAGCCAGTATAAGATTCTGATGGTATGATAACCTTGGATAAAAATATCACGGTTTCATAGTATTGTGATTACTGCAACAAATTTTTTGCTTTTTAAATGTCTGGGTAAAAATGTTTAATTTTTTTCCCCGTTGAACACAATATATTTCATTTTGAGAAATATTTTTTTTATATTTTAAAGCAGTAAACATGTCAGGCTAAATAATTCAAATAAATTACTTACGACTTCTGTTGTCATCATTTGTTTCAAAAACACAGATTTCTTTACGATTTAAAATGGCATCTTTGAATATTTTTTCTGCTAGAGATATGATTGTACTAATAAAAAAAATCTAAATAAAAAACATTTTATCGTAAAAAAACAACAACACACACACACACACCATAGAAACGGTGTAGCAGAAAATTAAGGGGATTTTAAAACCTTGACTTTACCAAACAGTTTTTTGTGTGTGTGTGTTTGTGTGTGTGTGTGTGTGAATCCTTATACTCCGATAATCAATAAATAAATTATTGAAGAAAAAAAAATCTATTTAAATGTATTAATTTGGGATTTTTTAAATTCATTAAGGAGTTTCAGATAATCAAAAAAAAAATAATGAATCAAATAAAAATATAATAAAACTAATAATAAAACTACAAAAAAATATACAAATGTACAAAATACCAATATGTCCATTTTAGGGATGCTCATTTCGGTTAATTTTGCCAACCGACAACCGCATGGTTAACTGGTCAGATTAATATAAAATTATTATTTAAGAAAAAAAGAATTTATGTGTCTATATTGTGTGACACATTAAATATTGCATTTTAAATACTGATTTATTTTAACATGCAAACGTATTAACAACAAAACATAACAACAGAACATCTTAACACCTACAGTCAAATAAAAATATCAGGCTACCTTAAATCGAACGCTCCAAGGAAAATAGACCCATGCATTTAATTAATGCTCCACTTTAATTCTTATATCACAAGCCTCTGTCAACATTTTAATAAAGCCATTAAAAATTATGTTTTGAGTTTCTGATTTTACCCTAAAGTTTGTATGCTTTTATTTCCTCTCTCAGGAATCAATTGTGCAAAACACTCGCAGCGGTTAGTAAATTATTCATAAGATACCCCTCTCAATGTTCACATTGATCGGCCTCTAATGCAGCCATACTTTAAAAATATATGAAATTATATATTTTAAACGTTTAACTGATACCATTACTCGGTTAAAAACGCAACCTTTCAGTTAACGTTTGCTTGGTTATTTTGAGCATCCCTAGTCCATTTAATTATACATCACTGATACACTATTACTTATATTTGTACAGTATGTTGATGCACTTCAGTTTTATAGTTATTTTTTAAAGGTGACTTTAATAATACACAAACTTTAATAAAAATAAAATCTACAGTAAAATAAAGATGTACTAATATCAAATAGAAATGGAAATTTAAAATAAAAAAAATAGATATTTAAAATGATTTTAAAAAGAGTCCATTTTAATTTAGCTTTTTATTATCAACTGATTGTTTTGCAGTTTGTGTTAAAAAAAAAATGTTTTATTTATTTGCTTATCTTAGATATGTTTGTGTTGCATTGCCATTTGACACCTTATATAATGTGTCCTGAAGTGAAACCAGTTAAGATCTACCATCTAACATGAAATATCTCCTATTTTGCCTCCCAAATGACACTGACACCACCGAGCGATGAATCATCTGCACACTTTCTAAGTCCCGGTAGCAGAAATAACATTTTGGTCTTTATTCTCCACTGAATAACCTGCGTGAAGGTCAGAACGTCCATTTGACTGACATGGCATATGATAAAGTGCTATAAATAACAGAAACATTAACTGTGACAGAGACACGGCTCAGTAAGTCTGTTGCTGTGGGGAAAGTGGGAGTTCACCAGGCTCACATGAGTTCTGGCATGATTTCGCATGGCTGTGAATGTGTGATGGTCCCCAGGGCAAGAGCTGCATGACCTGAGGATGCAGTATTTATACATACAAGTATATATTGTGTTCATCACTAATATCGGCACCTTTGGTCAATATAAGTTAACAAGTCTGTGGAGATAATGTCTTCATTGTTTACTCATTTGGTCTTTTGCTCAAAATATTAACTTTATTAAAAACTTTATTTCTTAGTGATGGGTTGCAGCTGGAAGTGCATTCATTCATTCATTCATTCATTCATTCATTCATTCATTCATTCATTCATTCATTCATTTTCTTGTCAGCTTAGTCCTTAGCCCTTTATTAATCTGGAGTCGCCACAGCGGAATGAACTGCCAACTTATCCAGCACGTTTTTATGCAGCGGATGCCCTTCCAGCCACAACCCATCTCTGGAAAACATCCACAAACACTCACACATTCACACATACTCATATACTACAGACAATTTAGCCAACACAATTCACCTGTACTGCATGTCTTTGGACTGTGGGGGAAACCGGAGCACCCGGAGGAAACCCACGCAAACTTAGGGAACATGCAAACTCCACACAGAAATGCCAACTGAGCCGAGGATAGAACCAGCGACTCAGCGACCTTCTTGCTGTGAGGCAACAGCACTACCTACTGCGCCATAGCTTCGCCCGCTGGAAGTGCATCCCTTACGTAAAACATATGCTTGATAAGTTGGTGGTTCATTCCTCTGTGGGGATCCCAGAGTAATAAAGGGACTAAGCAGAAAAGAAAATGAAAGAATGAATCTGTTATGAACAATATAGGCTATATTTAGTCAAACTGGCACAATGAAGGATTTTGTCCTTAATAGCAAAAAAGTTTAAAATACACAAAAATGTTTTTATTAAAGTATGATTTGTTTAAAGGGCACCTACTTTATGATGAAAATCATCTTTTGTAAGCTGTTTGGACAAAACTGTGTGTAGGTATAGTATGTTTACAGTCATATTGGGGTGATATAAAGACAATAAGTCTCTTAAAATAGGATACAAATCCCTCCCATTTTGAGGCCCACCGCAACGTGAGATAGGAGTGCAATTTTCCCCGCCTAAAGAATTGATTGACAGACACATATTAACATGTCTCCATAGTAACACATATAATCAAATCAACAAAACAGGAGGAGCGCAAAGCAACTGGGATTAAAAGATCTGTTCAGCTCTCTGTGATCATCAATCATCATCAAATGTGATCAAGAATGAGTTTTAAAAGTTCAAAACGTTTCCAAAACAGTGCATGTTTGTAATGAATTACGGTTATTTTACCATCTTTATCACCACAGCTGCATGTCAGTAAAATTATAAAAGAAGATGCTTCAATAAATTAGGTTTACTTTGTACATTAACATAGCAGATATCCATACAGCAGAGTAATGTATATTAGCGTGTATCCTGTCACATTTGCCGTGCAAAAACAGAGCAAAGTTAAACGCTTGTGCTTTGTGTGAGTGCGTATCTGTTGAGTGTGTGTGAACTTTGTAACAACATTGTGTGTGATCAAATAATCATTGGGAAATTTCTTACTGTAAGATTTCTCACAAACGTTACGTGAGATCTGCTTCCTTCATGTCTGTCACTGTGCTGTTTATCTGAAGCAGCAGAGGTGGAGGTTGAGGCACAGTCTGTCAGGAACATGGGAGCGGTGGGCGGGGAGAACCAAAATTAAAGGCACAGGCAACAAAAACAGCTACAGAGTGTTTAGAGAAGAAACTTCCAATGTTCTGAAAGGTATAATTAATAATCTGAGGGGTGTTTTGAGGTGAAACTTAACAGACACATTCTGGAGACACAAAAGACTTGTCTTAAATCTTGAAAAAGAGATAAAAGAGGTGCCCTTTAAGACAACTGAAACATATTTTATGTACAAAAAAGCTGAGTTGTAATTGTAAATTTAAAATTTATTTTAAAAAATTACCCCCACATTGGGTTTGTCCACGTTTGACCCAACGTTGGATTTTAATTTTAATTAAATTTAAATGACACTTTTAAACCCAATAGTTAGGTTTGCCCATCCATATTTGATCCAACAATGGTTTACAACTATGTTTAGGCCTATTTATATTATTTATGATACATATGAAATTTTATTCTGGTGGAATTTTTATTTAATTTTCATATTAAATGATTTTTTTAGTTAATTGTTAATTATTGGTTGACAAGCATTAGCTGTCAATAACCAAAATTAACAACCCTAACTGTTCGAGAGACTTTTTGGCCATATGAATTCATAAAAGAAATAATAATAATAATAATAATAATAATAATAATAATAATAATTATTATTATTATTATTATTATTATTATACAATGTATATTTTGTGTACAGTAAAAGTATATATGCTATAAGAAAAAGTTCAATGGGTTAAGCATTGAAGACATTTTTTTGCAGTCTCTTTTACTCATATTTTCTAAGAGTGCTAATATTAGTGGCGGACACTGTACTTACCCACAGTGCACCTGCATTAAACTATTAGCACAGCAAAATCCATTCAACACACAGCACACACACACATATACTAAGATACATAAAACTCTCCCAGCTGTCCTGATTTGGGTCTGATTCTGTGGGGATGTGGTAAGGTTAAAACATTCACAACTGCCTTCATCCTAACAGCTCTGGCAGGTTGCCTTATCCTACTTCAAAGATCAGATTATATTCATTCCTCAGAGACACTGGAAGGAAAATAAGAACACAGCACCTCATACTGTATGACCTCTTGTAGACTCTCTGACAGTATTTCATTCCTCACAAGCAACATGCAACAAAGTCAAGACTGTTTGATATCATGCACCCCTCAGAAGACCTCTTCACAAATCGCACACACATCTCCTGTGATGATGGAGGGGTGTAATAAATAACAGTCTCATCAAGGGAAAGTTCACATTTATATGACATGCTACTGGGTCAATGACATACAGTATTTATATAGAAAATGAGTTCACAATATGTAGGAAATTCAAATGTCAAGTCATGCCAAGTTAAATAGATATATATGTCAAGAGAAATCATTATTTTGTTGTGTTTATGAAGGATTTGAAAAACATTTGACATTAATTACAATTGTTTGCCTTTCTGCTAGACTGTTCTAGACAGTATTGAATTCAGCAGGTGACTAGCAATATTTGAATTGTATTCAATTTGAGTACAAAACAAAAACCTTTTTCTAGAAAGTTACTGTTTTTTGCACTCAAATTTAATAAATTAATAATAATATAATATAGTGTTTAATTAATAACATATAATTATTTCGTTTTACACATTGCACATTATTTAGCTCAACATCATCTGTTTTATAATAATAATAAGGTGATACTTTAGAATAAAGGTCCATTAGTTAACGTTATTAACTAAATATGAATAATCTTGTAAAGCATTTATTAATCATAGTTCAACATTTACTAATGCATTATTAAAGGCACCCTGAAGAACTTTTTTTGAAATTTTAACAGATTTGTGTGTGTTAAGCATCAGTTAAAACAACGTTAGCACATGTCAGCTTTAATTGTGGGGAAAACTGGATAATTTTGAGCTTTTGTCAGCTAATTTCATCTTCCAGGTTTAAAATAATTTTTGGGGTGGGATCAAAATCGGTGACGTAACGTGAATCTGCTAGTTGATTTATGACACGTCTGTGTTTTCTTTTCCTATGAGAAGACCCTTCTTAATTATTCAAGAGAGCATGTGCTTTCCGAAGGCAAGGCAGACCTCCCAAGCTGTGAGACCCAATAACTGGGTGAGACTGCATCCGTGCACGCCACAGTTCCTATGTTTGTTTCCATGATTCACAGAGTTTGTTGCATGTTTTTCCTTGCAATACTGTCAAGGACAATACGGCAAAGCTGGTTTGCAGCAATTATTTTTGACAAGAAAGCTGTACAAGAATGGCGGACTTTGTCTTTTATCAGTTGAGTTTGTTACCATTCAGACACATTGCCTATTTCTGTTCGCCATGTGTTTAGACAGGTCACAATAGACAGGTCAAGAGACCTGCTGCACTGCTATTCACTGCATCTGCATTCAGAACCGGGGATTGAGGAGGAGAGAAGTCCTTCTCATTTATAGTGTTTATATAAACACGATTATATTTATAATGATATAACAAATTGTTTTAATGTGTATATGAAATTTGGAATAACAAATGTAACGGCATTAAATTACTGACTGTTTATTTCTTTGCATTTTAACTTCGTAAACTATAAAATCATGTGTTTCCCCACACTTTGTGAGCTAACTGACATCAGTTGTTCACTCCCCTTTTTCCCCCCTGCTCTGCTGGCCACGGCCACTCCTCCCTTTGCTCACAGAGCTCCATGTCCATCTCAGAGTATTTTTGAAGAAATTCTGAGGTAGACTTGAACTGAAAAAGGGGGGCTTTATGGCCCTTTAAAACATCCAAAGTTGTGCTTGTTAAAAGTAGTTCATGCACAGTGAGTTAACAAAAGTAAGATAAGGTTTACAAAGTTCAATAAATACTGTAATAAATTTATTACAAATTGTTTGTTGATGTTAATAAATGCATTAACTAACATTAACCAAGGGCTGCATGGTGGCGCAGTGGGTAGCACTATCGCCTCACATCAAGAAGGTCGCTGGTTCGAGCCTCAGATAAGTTGGCGTTTCATTCCGCTGTGGCATCCCCTGATTAATAAAGGGACTAAAGCAAAAAGAAAAAGAATGAATGAATGAACATGAACTAATGAACCAATTTTTTAAAAGTGTTACCAATAATATTAATACTACTACTTATAATAATAATAATAATAATAATAATAATAATAATAATAACAAGAAAAAGAAGAAGAAGAAGATGATGATAATAATATAAATAATAATAACAGAAGTGTAATGTCATTGACCCTTTTAACCCAGGCTGTTGCTCAAGCGCATTCAAGGGACTCTTTCATGAAACATTCCAGTTTCCAGTGAGCGAATACAGACTGAGCTGCAGAAAAGAAAGGCAGAAAGCATGATGGGAATGAGGGGGAAAATGTTAAGGGACTTGAACATGACAGAAATTATAAATTGGTTGATTAATCCTTAATTTTTTTGTTTTTGTTGTGTTTATTTATTCTGTCTGCTCTGCGAATCTGTGCTTTCAGTGTAGTCAGGAGTTAGTGAAGTACGTGTAACCAGGACCGGGTTTGATCCCAAAGTGGAGGGTAGTGAGGGGACTAGCATAGTTTGGCTCATTGGGAAGCCAATATGGGGGGGGTTACTTACTATCCCAGGGGGTTTGGGGGTCTCTGGTGAGTGGAGGTTGTTGTTGTTGTGGGCGAAACTGCCGCTGTGACTATTGGAGACTGTGTACTTCCTGATATTGAGGCCCATGGTGTCCAATGACTGGCTCCTGCTGCGGATCACCCGCTACAGCACAGGGAGAGATGAGGAGGAGACACAGTGAGCGGCGCCGGGTCAGTGGAGCGGGATAATCCAGAGTGTCTCAGGCTGCTTTAACCATCCTGAGCGAACCACTGGCGAGGTTTTGTCCATAAAAAAATAAATAAAGCATGTGACCAGAGGGAGGACAGGCGATATGAAGTTAGCAGGAAGTCTATAGCTGTGTCCCAAACCGAGCTCTATTTACTAAATACTGCATTTTATCAAGTGTTTGCCATTTTGTAGTGCTTTACAGCAGTGTTTCTTAACCACATTCCAGGAGGATCACCAGCTCTGGACATTTTTTTCATGTCTCCTTAAAGGTGCTGTATGTAAGTTTTTGACTCTTCTAAAGCATAAAAATACCATAATATGTTTGCAGATGTTTAAAAAACATGTCAAGTGAACATTCTTGCTTATCTGAAAAGCAATGCTACAATCAGATATTCTGCTTTGAAAATGTGCGTTACGTGCCGGAACGAATGTCTTTGTTTTGGTCATTTAACCTGCCCATTGCCAGTTCAGCACCCTGCGTTACCTTCATGGGAGACCACATATTTCATTTATTCAGTCACAAAAGCTCTCAAAGCATGCGTCCATGACTGAAATGCAACCATCCGTGGACAGTAGCAGACTCCGAAACAAGACACAGATTCAGAGATCTACATGAGATTATTAATTAGCAAATAATATAAATATTACAAACATAAGCATTAGGTGAGCAGGTTACATTGTAACTCCGTGTCCTAACAACACGCTACATGAGGAGATTTGCAGTGATACATTTTATTGTCAAGATCTGAGGTAAACCATGTGCTGCTGCTTTCAGTATATGGCAATACATGTCTTGTAAAATGTCATTCAAAATCACATTATTAGCATTTAACACTAAATAAAGCCCATGAGGTGTACCTGAGGTGATCTTTGTAAGTTTTCTGTTGTTTAGCTGCAAGAAATAGAAGTTGTTTCTAAAATATACATTTTAGGTGTTGGTTAGAACAAAAACTTTTTTTTAATATGGAAAATATTCCTTCTGTTGCGTGCCGCTGCTTTCATTTATAACACAATGATAGTCAGGCTTCTGTTGATGCCGTCAATCTGGCAACCTGCGCTTGTGTGTGTTTTGAACCAGGTGCGCAATACCTAGTTAAATCATTGGGTCCAATTTTACATACTGCACCTTTAACAAAACACACCTAATTCAGATCATCAGTTCATTAGCAGAGACTGAAAGACCTGTAATTGGTGTGAAAGGCAAAAGAGGCATCCAAAACATGCAGTGCTGGTGGTCCTCAATGAACGTGGTTGAAATTTAATTTAGCATCACTGAAGTGTTATTTTCCAAAATCAAACGTAAATCAAACATCTTTCTAACCATCCATCCATCCATCCATCCATCCATCCATCCATCCATCCATCCATCCATCCATCCATCCATCCATCCATCCATCCATCCATCTATCCATCTATCTATCTATCTATCTATCTATCTATCTATCTATCTATCTATCTATCTATCTATCTATCTATCTATCTATCTTCCTGTTCCATACTGTGTACATATTATTATTAAAATTATAAGCCATGTTCAGTGAAAGTTTAGTTGTTTTTAATTTTAATTTAAATAAATTTTATTTTTTAATTATAAGGCGATAACAAAGTAAGGACATTTTTAGAGGATTTCCTATAAAATATTTTATATGGAGAAAGATTTTTTTTTCTCTTTTCACACAGAGAAATGTCCTTATGTTGTTAAACAGCACTTAAAAAAGTGGGTTATAAAGAGGGTTACACAGGAGGGTTTATATTTTAATAATAATAATAATAATAATAATAATAATAATAATAATAATAAAAATACTAATATGAACAAAAACATTCAAACAAATCCATTTGAAATAGAGTGTTTATTTTAAACTACAGCTAAAAAAGAAATAATAAAAATGACTAGCCTGTGTTTTTGCTCTCTTTGTTATCAATTAATACAACAAATGTGATAAATGAACAGTGACATTCAATTCATAAAGCCAAAAAGGATAATTTTTTATAATTCACAGGATGGCAGGTGTATTGTTCAAGGTGAAATTGAATTGTGTCAGACTGCTCTCTGCCTTACACTACTTACAAATTCACTCATACATTTTCCTTCCCTCTCCTAATGTAGTCCATTCAACTAAAATACACTATACATACTGTAGTTATTAGTGAATGAGTGAAAAATTGAGCGGTTTCAGACACAGCTATTGAAAGATTGGCTGAGTGCTATTAAAGCTAGCCACCATTAGAGGGCAGAACTGCCTGAGAGTGTTAATGGATATTGATTAAACATCACCCACTAAAGTGCTGAACAATTTCAAGGGAAAACTCCCAGAATGTCAGTCACATCCACAGATGAGCCAGAGAGTGTCCTCCATGCTAATGAGCTTGGCAATAGACAGATGCTGAAGAAATCTGTGTCAGTTAGTGATTGGGGAAGTTGCGGAAACAAACATAATAAGTGAAAAGGAGAGATAATGAAAATGATTTATGAGAAGGCTGATCAATTTTTATGTCTGGATGACCACAATCAATGCGTGAACACACTGAACACATTCAGTTATGAGAAAGGCTGCCAAACACATACAAACAGCTTGTCTATGATGAATTACATGCCGGAAAATACATTTCAGATTTTTTTGGCATACAAACAGACAGCTGTATGTTTGTGATTAAATATAGCTGTGTGTGTGTGTGTGTGTGTGTGTGTGTGTGTGTGTGTGTGTGTGTGTGTGTGTGTGTGTGTGTGTGTGTGTGTGTGTAGCTGTGTTGGTTTAATTTTATTGTACATAAATATTTCCCTGTAAAATACAAAATTATGTTTAAGTACATAACAGTGTATTTTAGTAAAATTTTTATTACATTGTTTTTGTATTTTTATAACATCAATGCAGTGTTTTTTAATTCAAATAAATGAATAAATAAATAAATATTGTATAATATTGTTGGGCCTTTTGATCTTTCTTTCATTCATTCATTCTTTTTTTTTTTTGCTTAGTCCCTTTATTAATCTGGGGTAGCCACAGTGTGATGAACCGACAACTTATCCAGCATATATTTTACGCAGCGGATGCCCTTTTCAGCTGCAACCCATCACTGGGAAACATCCATACATACACTTTGGACAAATTTGTAGCTTACCCAATTCACCTATACCGTATGTCTTTGGACAGTGGGGGAAACCGAAGCACCTGGAGGAGACCCACGCCAACACGGTGAGAACATGCAAACTCCACACAGAAATGCTAACTGACTCAGCCGAGGCTTGAACCAGCAACCTTCTTGCTGTGAGGCGACAACACTACCCACTGTGCCACCGTGTTGCCCTTTTGATCTTTCATTAAAAAATATTCTAACCTTTCATAGAAATGAAACCAAATGAAATTAAGGGGAAATCACATTATAGAATGAATGAATGAATAAATGTTGTTATAAAATATACAGCTGAAGTCAGAATTATTAGCCCCCCTGTTTACTTTTTCCCCAATTTCTGTTTAACAGAGAGAAGATTTCTTCAAGCGTTTCTAAACATAATAGTTTTAATTTTCATTCCTAATAACTGATTTATTTTATCTTTGCCATGATGATAATACATAATATTAGACTATATATATTTTCAAGACACTTCTATACAGCTTAAAGTAACATTTACAGGCTTAACTAGGTTAATTAGGTTAACTAGGCAGGTTAGGGAAATTAGGCAAGTTATTGTATAACGATGGTTTGTTCTGTAGACTATTGAGAATGAAATATAGCTTAAAAGAGCTAATAATTTTGACCTTAATATGGTTTTAAATAAATTAAAAACTGCTTTTATTCCAGCTGAATTAAAACAAATATGACTTTCTTCAGAGTAAAAAAAATATTATCAGACATACTCCAGAAAATTGATGAACAGAAAATTGAAATGAACAGAAAATTCATTGCTCTGTTAAACATCATTTGGGAAATAAAATAAAAATCAAAGGGGGGCTAATAATTCTGACTTCAACTCTATATTGGCCACAAATGTTTACACCCTTTTATCCAATAACTCTGGCAACCTTTTTTGCCAAGATAACAGTTCTAAGTTTTCGCCTATAATATCTGAAAAAAATGTGTTTAATTGCTTTAAATATGAAAGATCAAAAGTGTGAACAGTAAAGATGAAATTTTAGTCATCCTTTGAATTAATTAATTTATTAAATTTTTTACTAAAGGTGCAAATATTTCTGAAATATAGTTGAAGTGTTTTAATTTGGCTGAAATAAAAACAGTTTTTTTATTTAACATACATTTCTGTATTTAATTAAATTATTTATAATTTTTTTGTATTATTAGACATATGAGATTTTTTTCAGATTTTCTAGAGAAAAAAAAGACCTGTTATTCAACAATTTGCCTTGTTAAAAACAATGTTTAGAATATATATATATATATATATATATATATATATATATATATATATATATATATATATATATATATATATATATGTTCAATAAATCTGTTTTGTTTAAATGCACCAAAATACATTGCCCATATTCACTGAGAAATGGATACAAATATTCATTTTCAAAAAGGGGTGTACTCAATTATGCTTAGCCCTGTATATCGAATACAACACTGCAACACACTCATTAGTGCTGCATATCTCAAGGAAATATTTCTGTACAATATGTCAACTATGATTAATCATGTAGTACTCATTAATTTTAGGAAGCAAAATACTTTTGGAATTCTCAAGAGTGCATCTATGCTTGACAATGTGCTAATAAGACTAATTAGCGCTAATTACGGTAATAAGTAATTTAATTTAGGTAACATGGTTGGCAGCTGGAGTCATAAAGACGCCACCATCTAAAACCCAAGAGAGAACAACAAGCTACGTTCATAAATCACAACAGCAGCGAAATCAAAAAAGACATGATTAAAAGATTCACGAGTGCCAGCGTTTCAGCAACAGAACCAGAATGCACCACCACATCCACCATTCACACACAGAAGCCAGAGTAATGCATCCCAAACATCCCTGTCCTGTCTTCACAGAGGCTCAGAGCCCTGTGTCCATATGGTTTACCTTAAAGGACTCAAAGAAGCCTCCTCCTCCTCCTCCTCCTCCATTTTCCAGTTTGTCCTCTTCTCCTCCCAGTCCCATCATGGCCTGACTGTTGATGTGCAGCTCCTCATACAGCGTCTCCAGCAAGGCAGACCGGGTGCGCTCCTGACAACAAATGCATAAATAAACTATAGGTGTTTGATTATTATAAAACAAATCAGATATGATGTTTTATAAAGTAATGGCTAGATTTATATGATATTGTCTGTAAATGTATTCATTTTGCAGATGCTTTAATTACAAATGGGGATAAAATATGCACATCAAATCACAAGAGATCGGCAATATGCAATGTAAATGCCATTAGTATAAATTGTTTTTGCAGTTTTTAATAGAAGGAAAATGTCTGGCACATATAGAGACAAAAGAGTGTTCCTACAGGTCCAGCTCACTCACCTGTGTGAAGCACATTCAGTATTGTACAATGTTTTGCTAGGAACATGGAGTGTTTATAAGAAAGTGTCTGGTGCATATGGAGAGGCTAGATCATGGAGGCCAAGGGGCCATCTTTAACCACGTAAAACACTAAGAGCTTCAATTAAAATCAACATCAAATTTTTTATTTAATTTTTTTTTGTTTGATACTAACGCTGAATCTGAAATCACATACTTCCATACTATACAGTTGGCTAAAACATTATGCAAGCCGAGTATGTCCAAATTCATAGAACTCAAAAAACAGTATGTGAGAAGTACCCAGATGACCTACTCGGATGGATGCTATGTTTTCCCATGATGCACTGTGAGATGATTCATAAATGGGAGTAAAGCAAGGCAACTAAACTAGGTAGGTCATGTGATGATGACAAAATGGAGGATGTAGTACATCCGAGTTCCATTCATACTAGCTGTGTCTTATTTCAGAGGCTGCATCCTCCGAGGGATGCATTCAAAGTGTGCATTTCATCGCGACAAACGGTGTTTCATTTAAAAAAAAATTGAAGGCTCCTTCAAACGCAGCCTCCAAATGTGTCCTTCATTTCCCAAGTAATGAAGCACATAACCGGTAGATTCTTCGCAGCCTCGAACATCCCAGGATTCATTGCGTGCTGATAAAGGCAGGACATTTTTAAAAGAAAACTCCGGATTAAATGTATGAATTAAGTTTATTTTACTTGGATATAACAAAAAAAAAAAAAAAGAGTATGACATGTCTTACTTTGGATCAAAGGAAATATATTTCCAGCTTTTCTAAACCTTGTTTTTCCTTCAGATCGCTTAAAATAAGTTTTAAAACCACTTTGAAAAAAAGTCATGACAAATTTTATTAGTGATTATTAACAGCAGCTGTTACGGTTGCCAGGTGACGAGATCTGTCGGCTACATCGTCTCATTTCAAAGCGCTCGACTCAGCCTGTGTGGACTTCGAAGGACTCACCTTTAAAGTCTGCATCCTTCGAAGGATGCAGCCTCTGAAATAAGACACAGCTACTGTTGACATTCTTACTGTATAGAATGGATACTTTTCTAACAGCCGAGTAGTACGTTTAAATTCAAATACAGTACCTATTGAGTAGTAGGCGATTTCAGATACAGCCTAAGTCTGGCATGTCCTTGGTTCGATTTAAAACAATAAAACTGAACATAATAAAAAATAAATAAATAAAAGGTCGATTAACACCATTTTTAATCTCTGAGTAGACATATTGAGCATATAAACATACTGTAGGCAAGAATTCTGTTTTAATATTTAACAATTAATTAGGACTGTATATGCTCAACATATCTGCTAAGGTTAATACTATAATGTAATATTATATGTATAATGAATTATGTTTTAATATTTAATAACGGATTAGGCCTATAATACAGCACATAATGATGCATTACGTTTTCTTTATACTGTTTGGTGCATTTTACTAAGGGTCTATACAAAGTTCTAACAAATTATGCAATTATTAAAGAATGTAAGTAAGGGGTTCACTGTGCAGGTTAATAATTGATTGATGTGACACAGACAGTCACAGAAACAGCATATTATAAATAGAAATATATCAAATGGTGCAGGATAATTCAGCAACTGAAGTAAATCTATACATTCCAAATGATTCATAAATAATAATAATAAAAAAGTCCAGGATATGGCAAAAATTTGTAAGTGCCATGTGGTGTATCTGCTATTCTGCTATGATAGTATCGTTTATATGAGCACTTTTTTAAAATATTAGTCACTCACCTCTAATTTGGCAAATTTTTCAGCTTTGTAACACGCATATTCAGCATTGATCAGCTTAGAAAGCAAGAATTCATGGAACTCTGGACCCTAGAAGGGGTAGAAAGAAGAGAGAGAGGACAAATGAGAGAAGAGTTAGATAGAGATGAACATTTTTGAGTGCTTTCAGTATATGCATTTAAAAGTTTTTTAAAAATCTTATTTTTATTCAGCAGAGATGCATTACACGGATCAAAAGTAACCCTCAAGACATTTTCTCACATTTCAAATCAAATCAATAATTTCTTAATACATGATATATGTACTATGAATTGCACAAATTATTAAGCAGAACAAATGTTAATAATAAAAGTAAATAATTCAGGAGCATCAAGTCAGTGTTCTGACTACAGGAGTAACAGTGCTGAAAATTCAGCTTCACCGTGCGAGAAATAAATAACATTTAAAAAAAAATGTAAAAACAGAAAACAATTGTTGAAAATTGCAATAACAGTTTGACTCACTTTCTTAAAAACGGCTGGATTGGGAAGAGGTGGTCCAAAGAAGGGAACGTCATCTCTCGCTGTTACTGAAACCTACAGATTGACAAATAGGTGTCTCATTTACTGACTCACAGAGAAGTGTCACAGAACAGAAGCGCTACATTGCAGTAATGCTGTGATGATCAACCTTGTAGAGGACATCATCAGAGCAGGCATTCTCCACCTGCACCACTACATATGCATGCAAGAAGTTGGAGGCAATCATGTCTGGCACAAATGGAGTGTTTTCCTCTTGAAACACGATGGCCACAATGTCATTTCCAATATGCCTCTTCCTCTGCAGCTGTAAACACAGAACACAAGAGTTTACTTTCACAAACCTGCCATTTAAATCATCCTAAATTTACATGTTTACATTTTTTATTTACACATCCAGGAGTGAGATTTCAGAGTAAAAGCTGTTTTACCAGTACTATTTACAATATTACAGTAGGGCATTTTTGATTTATTGCAAAATTAGTATTTGCTTCATGGGAGAACACATTTTGATATGGGACTGATTTAAAACGAACAAGTTTTTGCATACCAGATACCTTATAACCCTCAAGTTAACATGCATGCAAGCATGAGAGAAAGATAGAGGAGAGTGCTGTAGCAAATGTGGGGAAGACTTAGCCAATCATTTTTAAATATTTTGGAGTTGCAAAGTCATTCAGTCACACTGGGAGGATGTAATGCAAGCAATAAGAAACATGTTTGGTGATGGAATAGACTTTTCTTTTACAACATTTTACCTGGGAAATATTGCAGTCAACTAAATGGTAAATGACAAGTATTTATTAAAAATACTTCTAGCAACTTTTAAGAAAACTGTAACTCGAAAGTGGCTACAACTCAAACTCTCTATAAAATTACAATGGTTGGATATTAATGTTCAAAATATGGAGAGGCTGAGTTTTTCTTTAAAACTACAAACAGACAAATACCTGCAATATTGGGAGAAATGGATTGTACTTATGCCCTTATAAGTACTTATAAGGGTGGAGGGTGTTTCCGAGAGAAATAACAAAACGGGAGGGTGGCGGGAGATGGGTCTGAAATGCTCTCACTGATGGGTCTGAAAGACTCGCGGGAAAAACAGGAGTGTTTTTCAGGTTTGAATTAGACCTCAATTTTAAGTGCAATTATTATTTTTACTGTCACTTTTGAATGTGTATTTTATATTAACCTGAATGTATATCAATGTCATAAGCATTTGTTAAAAGTCTTTAATAAAAAACTCCAGATAAACCCCTAAAAATATATATATTATTTCAAACAATTTTTAAAATAATTACTTCATTTATATATAAAAAATATAAAATATTTTATTATACACTACCCATTTTATAAAACCAATAACATAAATAAATATGTATGAACAATTTGAATACCTGCTCTATTTACTGCAATCAACATCATTTATACATGAATAATCCAGCTTAATCTTAAAAGGAAATGTAGCTATTTTACAGCTAACTCATGTAAACTATAATGATTTTTAAAAGGACTCTTAACTCTACCTTCATTGCTGGAAAAGTAAATTGTACATAAAATGTATGAATGAAATCATACAAATTAATAACAATTATCCACTAAATCGAAAAGTTATAAATTATTCTGAGATTGCATTAAATTAATCATACATTTCATAGTGATGAAACAAACCAATACAAGCTTTGGAAACCCCAGTTGCCATTAAACACTCTTCAGCGTGACATCTGATGAAAAATTCCATCAATTTTTGAGGTCAAAATCGTGTGTCAGTTCTGTCATGTGCTGAAGCTGTTTTTCACAACATGCCTGAACAGATGGCTGGCAAGGACAAACAGAGGTTGCAGCCACTCAAAAACATGGACATCAGCTCACATACTCGATCTGCTGTCAGCCTCCGATCACTGGCCAGTGAATGTGTGCACATATGACACAGAGAGAGAGTGTTCTAAATGTGGATGATTCCCTGAGGAGTGAGCTCTAAAAACACTGTTTCTCTGAGGGCGCAACGCTGCCAGTGAAGGTGCAGAATAAAGGTCACTTTGTGAGTCAACAATCATCTGCCAGCACATCAACAGTGAGTGGCTGAAGGAAACAGCATCTGCCCTGGTACAAAGGGAATTGATCTCCCTCCTGTCAATCCACAAGATTTATACAGTGGTGGGTTGCACTTTATTTTATGGTCCAATTCTTGTATTAATGCACCATTAACTAAGATATTTAGCTCAATAAACATTAATTAGATGCTTATTAATAGTAGGTGGAAGTTGGGTTTAGGTATTGGGTAGTATTAGGGATGAAGAATAATATTCTATTTTATAAGTACAAATAAGCACCCAACATCCTAATAATAAATAGGTAATAAGCCAGTAGTTAATGGTGGGAATTAGTGCTTATATATATACATTATATAATAATCAGTGCCTGCTCCTTCATCTTTCCCCAGACATGCTTAATATTTTCATATCTGGTGACAGGGCTGGCCAATTCTGGAGCACCTAAACCTTCTTTGTTTTCAGGAACTTTGATGTGGAGGCTGAAGTATTAGAAGGAGCACTATCCTGCTGAAGAATTTGCCCTCTCCTGTGGTTTGTAATGCAATGAGCAGCACAAATGTTTTGATGGCTATGGCTGTTGATGTTGCCATTCATTCTGCAGATCTCTAGCATGCCCCTATACTGAACGAAACCCCAAACCATGGTTTTTTTATTCACCGAAATTGACTGATTTCTTTGGTAATCTTTGGTCCATGGGGGTTCCAATACGTCTTCTGCTGTATTTGTGATGATCGGGATGCAGTTCAGCAGATGATTCATCAGAAAAATCTACCTTCTGCCACTTTTCCAAATGATCAAGTATAAGTCAAGACTACGACAAGACAGTCAGGTAGTGTAGTGTAGTGTGTGTTTGTGAGAGTGTGTATAGTGTAATAAAAACGGTGTTAGTTTTTGTTTTTAAACATAGTAACCCTAACTAATATGTAATTTGTTGTTGAGTGAGTCTAACTAAAATACATGTTTATAAACATCTTATTTTGAATTACTACAGTTAAAAATGGAAATCAAAACCAAAATCATAATAAAACTAAAATAATTTTCTAAGATTTTGAAAATGTTTGACCACCTCTGGCATGTATAACAATCCAGAAATGACATACAGTAGTCTGTTTTATTCTGTCAGTAGCAAAAAATACTATTAAAATGTGAGGATTCATCTTTGATAGTTGACAGAGTAGCTCTGGAAAAACTGATACAACTACTTGGTTGTTACTCACCGTTAAGTCTGTTTTACTTCATTAACAAGAATTAGACAAGATATTCTACGTATTCATGGCAGAGAATTTGGAATTGTAAAATGTGTAATCTGTACTGACAATCCCCAATCAAAGAGTGTGTGTTACTGTGAATTTGAAAGCATTTAAAAGTGACTCCATTCTAATGCGCGCAAATAATTTACAGGACAATATCCAAAAAAATAATTCCTTTTAGCTAGCTAACCAGCATTTGATGAATCATGTTGTGCTGCTATAACACTGATCAATAGTTTTCAAATCCACTGACCTCTGATCTACAAAGATGGATTATCACAGACAGCTGATTATATATATTTTTTTTCAGACTAAAGCTTATTACAGTTGTATTGACTAAAGGGACCAGTAAAATGGAAAGGACACGTGCTGTGAGTGATCCTCTCCCTGCCTGTGGTCATTTGTACCTGCTGTGTATCACCCTCTGTGTAAGGCAGCTTAGTCGACACGTGGAACATGATCTCTTTGTTGTGGAAATTATGGTAGACAGACTCAGAGCCGGTCTGTCCATGTGTTACATCCAACCCTCCACGAAACCTGTAGCAAAAGAGCATATTCAAAGGATTTGCAGACAAATTTTATACAATTTATGAGCAGCAGCTTCACAGTCATAATCAAGATTAATTGAGATTTGTCGTAAGTCTTTAAGATATGGAAACATAAGAATATTTCGAGAAAATCTAACTAACAATTTGTATGTACACTATAAAACCCAAAAAGTTCCGGTAACTCAAACCATTTGAGGAAAATGATTGCAACAAACCATTTAAGTTCAAAAACTAATCCTAATGAGTACTGTGAACTTAATCCATTTGAGTAAACAGAGCAATCTGAGTGCAGTAAAACCCAATAAATGAAGAAATCCAACTGAGTACTGTAAAACCCCAATAATTGAAGGCAACTCAAACCGATTGAGGAAACCCATTGCTACAAACATTTGAGTTAAAAAAAAAAAATTTACTCCATTTAGGTTGAAGTGATGAAGCATTAAATTAACTCATTACCTTTAACACTGAGTTCAAAACTCTTTCCAAATGAGTAGAATTAACTTTCAGTAAATTTTGAGTTCATTCATTCATTTTCCTGTCAGCTTAGTCCCTTTATTAATCCGGGGTCGCCACAGTGGAATGAACCGCCAACTTATTCAGCAAATTTTTTCGAAATGCCCTTCCAGCTGCAACCCATCTCTGGGAATCATCCACACACACATTCACACACACACTCATACACTACGGACAATTTAGCCTACCCAATTCACCTGTACCACATGTCTTTGGACTGTGGGGGAAACCGGAGCACCCGGAGAAAACCCACTCGAAGGCAGAGAAAACATGCAAACTCCACACAGAAACACCAACTGAGCCGAGGTTCAAACCAGCGACCCAGCGACCTTCTTGCTGTGAGGCGACAGCACTACCTTCTGCGCCACTGCCTCGCCTAAATTTTGAGTTAACTACTATTATTTAATTTGATAAATGTGACTGTTGGGTTTTACAGTGTATACACCTTCAAAGGTAAAACATTAAATAAAAAATGCTGGTTTAAAATGTCTATTAGTCCATTTGAAAGATTATTTATAATATATTGTTACATTTAAACGTTTAAACATTAATTATGCAATATGGCTATTTATTTAAAATTACATTATTTATATTTATATTTATTATAAGTGCTAAAAAAATCTACCTTTTAATGAATGTCTTCTTGTTTTACAGTGTTATTTTAGTATCATGTATGTTCTATTTGTATGCACTATTCATTTTTATTACATTCACATATTACAGCTTTTATTTTTACTCTGTAAATTAAATTTACAGAGTATATACACTAATATATTTAAGTAATTTTCATTAATATTTCATTTATTTCTGATTTAAGTACTTTGAACAAAGCAACTTTTCAGCATTTTTGTTTTGCACGTCTTTATATTTGATTTCAGATTCAATTAACAAATGCAAAATTAAATTGAAAGGATCCTTCAAAAGTAATCACGTTTGAACAAGCACTAAATTAAATAAATGACAGGCATTAAATGTTAGTGAAACAGAGTTAGAAGTGGCTAATTTTTAAGCATAAACAAATACAGTTAACACTTTGCAAATTGGGAACATGTTTTATGTCATTTGAAGGTTCAAACAATGCAGCATGCAAATGCAAATAAACAACACTCTGAGTGAGTGCAATTCATTGTCTAAGTGAAATATCTCTTTAGATACGCACTTACAAAAACTGCAGCATCAAAAACATCTATTTTAATTCATACAGGCTGTTTAACATTTCGTCTAGTGCTGTACAGAGAGAAAGTAAGAGAGGCTCTGTTTATAAGTGTTACCCTTTGAAGTCATGAAGCTCGATTTTCTGTCCCAGAAACTCTAAAAACTCCACAAAAGCAGGACCCTCCTCGTTATTCCCAAACAGCTCCTCCTCTGAGGTCTACACACATAAACACACATAAAATGTTGATAAGTTTCAAGCTAACATTTTGCATTCAAGTGCCCTTGGTTGTAAACATTGAAACCCACCAGGTACAACAGGCGCCCTGTCAAGGCCTACATAACAAAGAAGATTTGTGCATTATCATTAATTTAATTACTGAATGAAATAACAGAGTAGTTCAGACTTTTCAAATTTCCCAAATTATAAAAACATATAAAGACACCCAAGCATTCAACAAACCTAACACATACACACGCATACAAAACAAGAGCATCTTAATGAGAACAAAAGCAAATTCTAAAATTAGCAAACCTAAATGGCTCATCATGAGTCAATTAGGTTTATGCAAATGCTAATTGTTCCTCTGAATAAACATAGTCTACCATTTAGAGTAAAGTAGGACACGCGGAAGTTTTGAGGGCTGATCCATAAGATGTATTTTAAATGCGTCCCATCAAGGGCTTTGGCGTTCTTGCTGCCCACACTAGAAAGGTTGAGTGTGTAAACACCGCTCTGTGAGATGAAGAGGTTGCTCTGCTCTCATGCTAATACGCTAAGGGTGTTGCTGGCAAGCCTCTTCAAAAAAAAAAAAACTCTCTGGTCCCTCTCACTCCGTTTAGCTCCTCGCTGTGGCCTTTAAGGCCAAGTGGCTGTTTTAATGTAATCAAAGCTCTCTTTTGGGAACAATAGCCTCATGATTTTAATACAAAATGTAGATCAAATGAAGACAATGATTTGATTGTTGTCTAAGCAGAGGATCCATTGTACGTTCAAGAGGAGGATGGTCTACTTATTAGCTGCTAGAAACTAAAGACAGATTTTTAAAAGTGTTTTTCTGAAAAAAAAAAATTAATTAAGTTGCATTTCCACCAAAGTGTTTAAGCAAGAAGAAGGTGATAAGATGGGGATTATTAGGAGACTATTTTGGATTTGAACTTCAAAACGTCCTGGTTACATCTGTAACCCAAGTTCCCCAAAGGAGGGAACGGAGACATGTGTCTCCCATTTTTCTCTAAGACACACATGGAAGTTCCTGATATGAAGAGCAGCCAGAAGTTCATTCTTATTCGGGCTCCGTTTGCAGTGATACTTTTTCGTTTTAAACGCACACATTTTGCTACAGTTGCGGCCTCCATCCTTAGCCTGGAGTTTTCCAGGCCCGAAAACAGAAAGTTTTAAAAACGCTGAAAAGGCCTTATTTGTTTTAATATGCTGCTGCTCCATTTAAGTGTGGATGAGGGAAAACGAAGACATCTGAAAACAGAGGTGTAGTTGCAGACATTCGACTACCTGACTACCTGGGGCTTTTTCTCAATATTAAGTGCACTAAGTTCAGTCTTGCATACTTTCGATCAGACTTCGCAAGTTTGATATGGAAAAAAAAAAACTCCAGAGAACACATCGGGTAAATCTTTAAAGGGAACTGTGTACTTTATAACGTCATTCACACCCCCCTGGCTAAGTTGTTTTATTATCTTAACAATAAAATAAAAGCATGATATAAGGAAATGCCTATTTTCATTTTGATATTAACAACTTAGTAAACACCAAAAAAGTTGAGGCGTCGTTTAGCTACATATTTTTATGACCATCATCTTGACTGTATGCATATTTATAACAAATCGAAGCCTGTAACATAACTGCCTCTGTTCATTTCCACTGCAAAACAAGTAACTTACCCTATTTCTTTTGCTGAATATCAGTTTTTATAGTAAATAAAGGGCATTATAAAATATAACATACGATAAGTTTATACAATATAAGAAACAAAAGACATACAATTAGTCAAATATGCAGAATCAGTGTTCGTGGTTATATAAATTAATATATTAACTTATCTTTGGGCTCAGCCAAAACACGTTACCTGAGAACAAGTAATAGATTTAAATGACCAAAAAGTCATTAGATAGAGAAGATGAGTTACAGTCAACCCAAGCTCATTCTGAAAACGTAGTCCCGCGGATGTTTCTGGAGGCAGCGGAATACGTCTCGGGAGGTACGTATGGCTGCATTAATTTTTTCAAGCAAACGCTACAGGGCGGTGTGACGCTGTTCCCTTTTGCACTTGCCGGCCGGCCGGCCGGCCGCTTACCTCCTTGTGGAGGGCTTTCCCGCTGCAACCCGTTTATCCACTCAGCTCACCGTGTACGTCGGCAGGCTTGAGATGCAGAGAGGAGTTGACCACAGCGATCGGTTTCGAGTCCGGGGAAGAGCGGTTCCAGCAATCAGGTAAGACAAAAACAGAATCCCAAAAATTAAGTGAACTAGTTTCGTAACAGGGTGAGAACACTGTGAAATCCGAAAACGCGGTAAAAAAAAAAAAAATCAGGGCTTTTCTTTTTTGGACGGCTTTTGTAAACTGTTGCTCGGGTTTAGGGAAGCGAGCGGGTCAGTCGGTAAAATTGGTTAGGTTTAGGGAAGGAGGAGGGTGGGTCAGCCGATTGGCCAGTCGCGCAGTCAATCCTCCGGTCAGTCGGACAGCGGCCTCTGGTGGGTTCACGCGAGAACAGCGCGGGCGTGAAAATTAGCAAAAACAAAAACAAAAACTGCAGCCTTACGTACCCGCCGGGACGTATTCCGCGGTCTCCAGAAACGTCCGCGGGACTACATTTTCACAATGAGCCTGGGTTGGTTACAGTAAATATCACGTTTATCAACAATAGTGAGATTATATCCAGCGGTATAACCTTAATGAACTATCCAACGTGTACTGCTCACACCTAGAGAGGTGTCCTCAAAGCACCCACTGACTGCCTGGAGCTCAGCGCATGCCAGAGTGTGCATGTGGTCACAAGCTGTGCATTTTCAGTGGTGTAGTGTGGACAGAGATCTTTTCAGAAACACTAGATGAGATGCCAGTGTGGACGTGGATAGTTTTTGTTCTAAAACACCATTTTAAACCTAAAACGTATTAGTGTAAACGGAGCCTCAGTTTAACAGCTCATCTAAAAGACGGCGCTTTTTTTTACTGAGCATAGTGTACCTTATAGTTTTCCACAAACAATCTAGTTCTCCCAAAAGGCCTCATATCCAGTGCCAACCTCACCTAGCTTCAGGGAGAAACCGATGTTGGGCTACAGGGTGATATGGCTGGGTGATTTGCACCACAGAAGCGCCCTTAAAATTTCCTGGAGATAGACATTTTTAGGAGAACACTGGCATTTTCATTCAATTCAATTCATTTATTTCTATAGCGCTTTTACAATGTAGAATGTGCCAAAGTAGCTTAACATAGAAATTCTAGTAAATTGAAACTGGGTCACTCCAGTTTTCAGAGTTAATATAGTTCAGTTCAGTGTAGTTCAAGAAGAGCAAAATCCATCATTGCGCAGCTCCACAAGTCCAAAACCAAGCAAGCAAGTTGCCACAGTGGCGAGGAACAAACTTCAACAATTGATGAAAGTAAAGGAGAAAAAAATACCTAGAGAGCTGCAATCTAGGTGTCGGAGGCTGAAGGATGGATGTCCATCGTGGAGAAACAGCATGTGTGTGTCAAATTCATGTGGCTGAAAATGCTTAGGTGAAGCTTTAAGGTGTGGTAACAATGCACTGTTCGCCACAATGACTTCAAATCATATACATGCAAGCATGCCAGACCGGAAAGCTTGCTCATGCAACAAGTTTCACATCAATGAGTGTCAGAGTTTAAGCTTGGTGAGCTATGACCTGCAAATTCGCATCATGTGAATCGTGAGACCAATATAAGATCAAATCTTGACCGCTCTGTACAGAAATTTAAAATAATCCTTCATTTTAACAGTGTCGAGTAATCTTATTCTGTCCCTTTTCGGAGCACTGTCCAATCGAATTTCGAATGTTCAAACTCTAGTGTGACCGTGGCTTAACAGCACCAATTTATCTCTGTGCATCTGCTAAATGAGTGCAAATCAGTTGTGAAGAACCTAACAGAGATAAGGCTTCCCATGCGACTCACCTGTCCAAACTTCTGATAAATGACTCCAAACTTGAAGTTGTTGCTAATGACGTGTTCGTCGAAAGTGACGATGAGCCTGGAAGCCTAGGGGAAGGTTAGAAGATTTAAAAGCATGATAAATGTCTGCTCTGTCAACACTGCAAACCCTTGAGAGACTAAAATACACCCAAACTAGCTTATTTCCCAGTGCCACACTTTAACTTGGACAAATGATCAGGGGTAATGCATTGGTGCATTCAGCGTTATCGCTTTGAAATAGACGGGTCACACATTGACAAAATTGATTGATATTGTATTGTGTCGTATAGGGGTTACGTACCTTTGGGTAAAGCACCGGGAAAAATCGGTCCACATTCACCTCTTCACAGACAAGCTGACAATAATGAAAAGAGAAAGCACATATTGATTTGCTCTTCATTCTCATTTGATCTTGCAAAAGTGAGGCAACACAACGGTCATCTGTCCAGGCAGGACAGAACAGGCTCATGGGGAGAGTGAGACAATCAGTCATGTCACTTATAGAGAAGTGTGATGAATTGGATGGCCCGAAAACAATAATGCTGACCCCTTCACCCCCTCCACGCATGATTCACTCTCACCTTGGCCATCTGGACAATGTTGGGGAATTCGGTCAGACAAGATATTGGTATCACGTCATGATGTGTTTTCATTTTTGTTCTGTAAATAATCACAAAACAGACACTGATCAAAACAAATAATGTGTATAAAGGTTTATCTGTTAAATTCTGATATTTTTAAATCACAGATTAAATCTCTCAGTTCTTTTTCAAAAAAAAAAAAAATCTCAACGTTTTTTCAGCACTCCAACCCCCCCAATTCTCAGTGTTTTTAAAATATAAATTATGTCTTAAAAACATTCATGTGTCATAAAACTGACTTTCTGACTTTGTATTTTGAAATTACATTTTAAACTGGAAATTACTAGTTAATTGCTAAATCTAACAAAGCTTGTATGCATCTTGGCATTTTTTACATGGCAATGTTTAATATTTTGTTGAAAATGATACCATAAAAACTACAAAAGCATAGTTTAGTAAATATGGAGTCATGCACATTGTGCAAGCACTTGACAACTAAAACATCAATGGCAGACTACAGAACTGTACAGAAGAACTTTTTTAGGAAAACAATTATGTTTTAAGTACATAATTGGCACAAAAACATACCTATAAACAATTGTAAAAAAAAGAATTACATTACTTTCTTAACATCCACAATTCAGCTTGACATTGAGCTCCAATAAATTTAAATTCATATATAAATGTGATGTAATGGTTTTAAAAATATTTAAATAATTGAACATAGCTAAAGTTAATATATTATATTGTAAACAATTACCCTCTTAGAAACAAAGGTGCCAAAAATTACCAAAGTATTTTTCTTACTGCAATAACAAATTTAATTTCTGGGTAAGGCATAAGACCAAAAAATGTTCATCCAGTCAAAATTTGTTGGGCCGACAATTCCCATAATTCCCATAAGTAACCCAAACTGTCTGTCAACAAATTGTCACCTTAGAATTATAAGGTTCGATCTGACATTTTTCTGTCAAAATTGAATTATTGACATATTCTTAATATTTGACAACTTATTTACATTATGGGATATTTTTTAAGTTGTTTACATTTTAAAACGTTTTATTTAAAAACCAAATGTTACACACATACTGTTTGCTATGGAATGCAAAAACTTTGAAGCTCAATATCTCAAAATCATTCAGAACGGAGCTAGAACCTTATAATTCCAAGGTGACGAAATGCAGATTTGTACATCTGTGCTGCCGTTCATGCAGATCTTCCATGTGCATGTGTGCGCGCAATCACGAAAATCAAATGCTGAATCAAACTTTTTAAAATCCTGAATCGATATTGGAGTTCCGTTTGCATGCTGGAGGATGGATGACACCATGGCTGAAGTATTTCTTTTAGACTGATAATGTTATGCTTTAAAACTATTTTAGTCACACAAATCATATGTAGATTTTTTTGTTTTACGAACGAGCTATATGCACAGAAGTGTTGTTCAGCCACTGAAATCTTCCAGCGAATGATTGATGTGACTATTTTCAATTTCATAAGGGCCTTTTACAGCATCAATAATGTAGATTCTATTCCGCCTAGTCTGCTTTACTGAGGTGAAGTTGGTTTTATTTTAACATCACATTGGCTCATTTTTCGACAATGACAACCTGTGATGTGCTCACTATATTGTTTACCATGCTACTTTGAATATTCATTCGGTAATAGCATGCAAGTATGGCTTAGTAATAAATGTAATTCCTGAATTCTGCTGGTCAAGCACTAAGCAGCGTAAGAGACTAAAACTAGCGATCCTTGCATGCATGAATTATTGCACATTATGACAAGTTTTGCTTGCTACATAACTGACAGCCTGCTAGATATAATGCAGTTTCTTGTTCAGAATTGTAGTATTATAAAGTACTATAAAGTTTTCTTACTAGTGAATGACATGATCTAGTGGGTTGTCAACTGTCATCTTTAAGGTGCACGTTCATAATATCTGTAAGCGTAGCTTTGGACCGCAGAGAAGGAACTGTGTTTGAAAGTGATATGCTAACGTTTATGCAGATCACCAACTGCACCTTTGAATGAATCTTCCTGTCCCATTAAAAATAGCTTGTCTTTTTATTAGACATGCAATATAATATAGTACTGTAAGTTTTATAAAGCAAAAGAAAAAGAATGATTAAATGTTCTGATAAACTTGCATCAACCTATATATATATATATATATATATATTATCTTAAAACATTACTCTTGCTTCAGTTTTGCTTTGCTTTTTCATTAATCAATTTCATTGATGCATTCAAAATATGAATTAATCCTCATGTCTGGCAGCTTGCAAACACAGTTTCTAATGAAATTATAGTGCAACACAACACAGTAACACTTATTAACAGCTCCGGACTTCAGTTCATAGTCATTGTGGCATCGTTAAATGTGTCACATGGATTTGATAACAGGAACATCCTGCTGCCTTCCCTCCACCCACACACATTGCCCTATATTGTCCATCTGGTGCCTAATGCGGAAATGAGGGTGGCGTGTACATTTGGCCTGCTTAATCTATCAAAAAATGGGTTTTATTGTAGTTCCCAGGAAACATTGACAGTTGTTGTCAAGGAATAGATATCAGTGCATTCTGTCTAATGCCCACAATAAAAGCCAAAGCTGAAAAAGTAGTGGAACCGTGCCAGATACTAAGCCTGTCATTAGCCGAACAATACAGACTTTGGCAGGACACAAGGCCAGGGGGAAAATGAGTGATTCGAGGGAAGTCAACAAGTCATCTAGAAAGAATGGAGAACAAAAAAAGGAAAAAAGAGAGGAGAGGAGGTCACACCTGAGCATGAGCCGGAGATGCTCTTGGTCCCCAATAACATCATATTTCATGGAGAACACCAGGTGGCCGAGGGCACTGTCCACTGTATAGTAATTAAAGTGTTCCTAATGAAGGAGCAGAAGGCGAAGCTGTGAGCGCACATTCATCTTCACACTTGCAAACTCATTTCAGTTTTCATTCCCAACACTCCCCCACAGATCTAAGGGCTAACCGACCACTTCTTTATGCACATTAGTCTAATTTATAATGGTTATTAGATGTGAATACATTAAGCCCATTGAAGCGAAAGCCTAATATATCTTCATTATGTCTGGCTGCTGTGGTGTCGCATTGGTCTGTAATTGGGTTACATTTGTTAACAATTGCATTATTAAAACTTATTCAAACGGATGGGCTGATGGATCCATTATGAACGTTTAGCTTTTTAAATGCTTTTCCATGCTGGTTTTGAGAGACCTTCTGTAGTTATGATTCATGCAATGAGCAAAACTAAATTTAAGTCTTTGTTTGCTGACAATTAAATGTTGTGTATGGAAATTAACTCAACAACTTGTTGTTGATATATTCATTAGGGAAATTTCTCTCTTTTGCACTTGCTCAGCAATAATTGTGCCAAACAAGAAATCCCAATTAAAGGGGTGGTTGAACGCTATTTCATGCATTCAGAGTTGTTTACACTCCTGCTCAAGCATCCCAGCAGGCACACATCAAAACACGTTAATATTAGGTTAGATATAGGTCATGACGTCCAGTGACCAAAATTCAATGTCTAGCCAGCGTCTAAGGGCAACATTATTTTGACGTCCAATAACGATGTCAAATTATGTTAATATTTGGCTGATTTTAGGTCGTGTTGGAGAGTTACCAAAATCCAACATTTGATCAAGGTCATAGTGGTACCATAAAGGTGTAACATTGACAGTTGATATTTGGTTGATTTTAGGTTGAACGTTAGACATTGACGTTGGCCTGACTTTGGGTTCTGACGTCAACCCGATTTTAATTTTCAAACAAACTCCAATGTGCGTTGGGGTACAACGTCAATATGACATCATCTTGATGTCCTGTGCCTGCAGGGATGGGTCAAATAAAAATTTAAAAAATCTTTTACAAAAAGCTTACTTTCATGTGATAATAAATTCTCCAGTTCTGTACATGACCAGTGTGAGCAAAAGAGCGTGCCTACCACCCCACAACAATACTTTGCTTAGAATGCCATAGCTTATTTAACCCTTTCACATGTACACTTTCAATTATTCAGCTAACTCCAAATTGTGAGTTATTTCGAATGCATCACTTTTATATTTCTATAGTGACGCGTTTGGTTTATGATATGACATGCTGCAGCCCCATGCACTGCAATGGAGATTAGAGCTGCTGGATTTACAACGCATTAATTCTTCAACTTCTCCTAAACCACATACTGTAAAAGTAGGTGGCTTTTTAACTGGAAGAAGACTCCAGTAAATATTTTAGTTACCTAAACAGGGTGTATCTGTTGTTAATAATATATGTTAAGAGTATGTGTAACATGACTATTATTGCTGTTTCTCATGGTCATCAGTATGCATTTTACAAGGTACAATGTTTTTTTGCTGTGTATTAAAAAATCAACCTAAGCAAACATTATTTTATTGAAAGTAATGATAAGTGGTGAGGTTTGACAAGTGATGTGGTTGTGTTTTTTACCCAGGCTTGGTTGCAGTTTTTGCAGGAGGGCAGATTTGAATTTAGCAGCTGATTAACGATGCATCAGCATTATAACCACACTGGTGTGATTGTGGGCTACAGGAAACAGCCAAGACTGACCACTATGTTGTTATTATATAAGACAAAGGGTCATAATAACAAAGCTGGTTGTTTGAAGTGCTCTATAGGTACTAAAGACTGTGATAGTGCCAAAGCAGCTTGACATAGTTGAAGGAAAGAGAATAAAAAAGCTAAAACAATATTTCAGATGGTGGAACATTCCAGCATATTAAGCTGCAAAATAATGTTCAAGTTAAATTAAAATGGATTCAGTTCAGTTTAATATAAATGTCACTTTTGAAGTTCAGTATGGTTTATTTCAGTTCAGCTTAACACAAATGTCACTGCTGAAGGCTGATCGCCTGAAGAGCAGCTGATCTTATTCTACAGCCCTAATTCTACCCAATACCTAAACCCAACTTCTACATTAATGCCTACTAATAAGAAGCAAATTAGGAGTATAAGGCAAAAGTCATAGTTAATGGTTTATTAATGGCAATAATTGCACCATAAACTAAAGTGTGACCCAAAAAAACAAACCAAATCTACCCATTCCAATCAATCTATTACTTAAAGCAAATGCTTACTTTGCCCAGAAAATGTTTCCTGTAGATCTTAGCGGTGGTGTTGCACTCCAATTTGTAGCGTGAGGTGGGAGACACGAATTGCTCCGGGTCATTCCCATTGCTCAGCTCATGATTGGTCCCTTCAATCCAATAACCCCCAAACTGGGGCAGCAAAATCAAGGGAAATGGACTCTTTCTGCCAAGAACCTGAGAGAGACATGAAGGAAAACAATTACGGTTGTGCACAATAAACTCCAGTGAGATATTGATTGCAATAACAGTTTCTGACAGCTCTTTATTCTGAACTGGTTTACCTCATGGACGCTGGGGTATGGGATGTAGTCTTCCTCAGTCTGCAAAGAAAATATTAATTATGCAGTGGATTCATCTGGTTGCAAAATACATTAAGGTGAGACACTGCAGGCAAAATATGCTTTGGTTATACATGTGTGTTCATGTGCATTTTGTGTGGTTTAAAATAAATACACTTTCAAGCGTTTCTGTTATCGTACTGTACTAATTGTGTCTGTAGATTTAAATTACAGTTGCTTTTTGTAGCATTTTCTGTATAATGGGGTGATGAAAGATACACTGCAAAACCCAACAGTCAACTTTAAATTAAATGAGTGTAGTTAACTCAAAATTTACTGAAGTTATTTCTACTCATTTTAAAAGAGTTTAGAACTCAGTGTTGAAGGTAATAAGTTAATTAAATAGATCATTACTTCAACTTAAATGTTCACAGAAATATAGATTCTCTTTTTAACTTAAATGGTTTGTAGCAATCGGTTTCCTCAAACAATTTGAGTTGACTTAATTTATTCGGTTTTACAGTACTCAGTTGGTTTGAGTTCTTTTTATTTATTGGGTTTTACTGTGCTCAAATGGCTTCATTTACTCAAATGAATCAAGTTCACAGTACTCATTAGTTTTTAAACTTATGTTAAATAGTTTGTTGCAATCGTTTTCCTCAAATGGTGTGATTTACCTTAACTTATGGGGTTTTGCAGTGCATACTTATAACACCCTTAGTAAAAACCTTTGACTAATATGTCAGAAAAAGCAAAAAAAAAAAAAAAAAAAAACAAGAAATGTTACCCTTTCTTTAAATTTAAAGTGTAAAGATCTTTGTGCTAAAAATATGCAAATTAGTGCATATTTAATCAATATTTTGTATATTTAAACAACATTTTAGAAAACCTAAGCAAAAAAGTAACACTTTACAATAAGGTTCAATAAGTTAATGTTAATGTAATTACTAAAGTGAACGAACACTGAATAACACATTTTTTTACAGTATTTATTAATCTTTGTTTTTGTTAATGAATGAAAATACATTAGTTCATTATTAGCACATGCTAAATCACAGTGCATTAAGTTAGGAACAAAGCCTCTAGGAGGTGATTACTTGTAGGATACAGCCTTACAGGCTTATCGGCAGCCCGATGTGATGTGGAGGGCATGGAGCGTACATTAACCTATAAAGCATTTGTTTACAAAATGGCATCAGTCAAAAACTGTCCAAAAAATGGCACGATAGACAACCAGAAACATTTGAATGTGTATATATATAACCATAATTTTAAGTATAATTGATTTTTATAAGTTGTTATCTGACAGCATGGTGGCGCAGTGGGTAGCACAATCGCCTCACAGCAAGAAGGTCACTGGTTTGTGCCCTGGCTGGGTCACTTGCCGTTTGTGTGTGGAGTTTTATATGTTTTCCCCATGTTTGCGTGGGTTTCCGCCAGGTGCTCTGGTTTTCCCCACAAGTCCAAAGACATGTGGTATAGGTAAATTGGGTAAGCTAAATTGTCCGTAGTGTATGTGTGTGAATGAGAATGTATGGATGTTTCCCAGTAATGGTTTGCAGCTGGAAGGGCATCTGCTGTGTAAAACATATGTTGGATAAGTTAGTGGATCATACCGCTGTGGCGACCCCAGATTAAAAAAAGGCACTAAAACAAAAAGAAAATAAATGAATGAATAAAGTTGTTATCTCAGAATAACATACCTTTGAACTTTGTGACTGATCAATGAGGATTGAGTATGCCAAACATAAATCTTAACAAGCACAATTTTCTTTTAATTATAAAGTTCACATTAACTTTGATTAATATATACTGTACAATTATTTTTCATTCTTAGTTTGTACAAACATTAACATTAACTAATGGATACTTATTGTAGAATGTGCCCAAAAATGTTCTCCATTTGTGAAAATATGGTGATCATTAATAAATAAACTTTACCCTAATTACCTGCAGTGTAACTTCACTGACACACAGACAAAAACATTCTGCTTGCTCATCTGCTGGTTTATTTAAGAGAACTAACTCAGGAACTGTTTGCATTGTGGCAAGTTTGACTCTTTATATAGGCTTTGTGGCTTCAGGCCAGAAAATATTGCTCAGCACCAGCTAATCTTATTTGATTGCAGTTCCATTAGTGAGAAGGAAAGTGGGCAAGGGATGTCTTTGAAAAACTAGACGCAGCAGCTTGACTGATAACCAGCTCTTCTATTTGAAGCTGTCTGCCGGCAGATAAAAACAGCAGTTCGTGGCCCTCAGACAATACGTGTTTTGTATTTTTGTGAGTGTAAAGGGACAAAAGGGAGCCATGAGGTGAACCTACTTTGAGAGGAGGAGGAAAAGTGCATCGCTGCTCGTCCATTCTGTTGCTCTGAAAGATAAAAAGAGACGATCTGTCAGGCCTGTCAGACCACGTGTGAAAGCAAAAATAACACTTAGGTTAGATCTATTGAGGAAAAAGGAATCTGATTAGACTTGTGTGCCTTTTAAGGGAAGAAAAAAATGCAGTTGCAGGAAATTCTGCTTTAAAGTGGTACATCTTGAAAATGAGACACTATGGATAAATGGAAATATCATTACTTGAAGAAATCACTGAATTTCAATCTTATTCTCTAAAGCTCTAATAATTCAGCCATGTGGCTTAAATAACTGTTAAGAAGTAGAGTTGCTTAGTATTTCAATTATCATGGTAATTCATTTTTATCATTCTTAATGGAGAAGTGTAATTTTTAAGATGCATTATTACTATATAAATTAAGTAGATACAGTTGAAGTCAGAATTATTCAACATATTTCTAAACATAATAGTTTTAATAACTTATTTCTAATAACTGATTTATTTTATCTTTGCCATGATGACAGTAAATAATATTTTACTAGATATTTTTCAAGACACTTCTATACAGCTATAAGTGACATTTAAAGGCTTAACTATGGTTAATTAGGTTAACTAGGCATGTTAGTGAAATTAGGAAAGTTATTGTATAATAATGGTTTGTTCTTTAGACTATCAAAAACATATATAGCTTAAAGGAGCTAATAATTCTGACCTTAAAATTGTTTAAAAATAAAAATAAAAACTGCTTTTATTCTAGCCGAAATAAAACAAATAGGACTCTCTCCAGAAGAAAAAATATCAGACATACTGTGAAAATTTGTGTTAAATTTGGGAATAATAATCATTTAAAATAATAATTATGACTTCAACTGTGTATGAGCTACAATCAGAGTAACAAATCAAACATACACTCTAAAAAAATGATGACAAAAAGTCAAGACAACAAATATTTAAAGGTTTCAACAACATTTTTAAAGTTATACAAAGTATAACCTAATAATTTTATTCAGTTTGACTGATGAGATGAGTTGAGATGACTAGAAAAGTTAATTAGATTTAACTAAAACATTTAAGGCAGCACAAATCTTTTTTACAATGTATCAAACTTCTATTTAGTAAAACAAATGTCAAAAAATAAAGCACAGTAAATGTGTTAAAATGACTGTAACTAATTTATATTTAAAGTGGGTGTATTGTCAATACAATTTTTACAAGAAATGTTCTCACATTAAAAGTAAATTTTTCTATACATAGATATTTAGATATATTTACTTTATTTGTTTATTTATAGCATAAAAATGAGTCTTACTTTCTTAACATCCACAATTCAGCTTGACAATGGGCGCCAATAAATTTAAATTAATATATAAATGTAGTGTAATAGATTTTAGAAAATATTAAAATACTTGAACATAGCAAAAGTTAATATATTATGTTGTGAACAGTTACACTCTTAAAAACAAAGGTACTGTACCACAAAGTACCAAAAGAGTTTTCCCAGTAAAACATTTTAGTGAACTTTATTTTCAAAGTATGAAGAATCATTTAATAATCGAAAAAAGATTTCTGTACTGCAAAGACCTTTTTGTGAAATTAAAACATTCTAAAGTAAATTTCCTCATGGGATCATTGATGCCATTATTTTAAGTGTGTAGTTATTCATTTTAAATTGACTAATTTCACTTTAAAAGCAAACATTTTTTTCACCAAACTCTAGTCAAAATAAAAAAGACAAATTCTTTTACAAGACTAAACATCAATAGCAAGTAAACAGGCATCAGCCAGAGAAGAAAAATGGATGAAGAACTTAAACAGCATAATGGGACATTCATAAAATGATTATGAGAGAACATTAAATCTTTTTAAAAGAAAGTTCACATGCACTCAAACAATAACAGAAAGAACATATTCTATTAGACAGACAGAGCCATCAGCCTTCAGAAGGGTTTTAGACAATAAGCTGTTCTCTTGTATTCTCTTTAATCAGGTTTTAAGAATATGCCAGACTGTTAAACATAAGATCAAAGAGCGACTAAAAGCGTCCAGGCAGAAAACATTCAAATATTTACAAGGCTATTTAAAGCCATTATACCAGATATTGCATCCTGCTGCTAGCTAAAATAATCAAACAAAAAAAAAAAAAAAACCTAAAGAGTTCCTATATAATCCAATACAGTTATTTCAGGCTATATATGATTCTACAGAAATGAAGATTGAATATCAGTTTGATGATGGATTCCAGCAAGGGATCTTCATGGTAGATCAGCTGTGATATACATACCATCACATTTGTCATTAAAAAAATTCTATACATCTAGCTGTGCTTTTCATTTGCAGAAGTCCCCCAGCTGCAACCCAATAGTAAATCAGATCCAATATCAATGTCACGCTGCTCTCGCAGGCATTATGCTCCATTTATTGCAGCTTCTGCTTAGACATCTGTCTTTGCAAAGTTAGAGATAACAAAAGTGATATCAAATGACTTAGATCAATATGTCTGTGTGTACCTAACAACAGGATCTTCTTGTAATGGAGTGCTAAAGATAATGATTCATTTGTTTTCAAGACAAATCATGTTCTCATTGTACTTTTTGGAAACTGAATATTTAAAATAAAAAGATTTTTTTACATTTGTGTTACATTAGAAATCAAATGTAATCTTAAATTTTAACTTCAAGTAATTATTATCATTATTATTTATTAATAAATGATTGGTAAATATTGCTAATTAAACAGCTATCTACATTCATACGATCTGTAATAATTGCAAAAAGTTATGTAAATATTTAAATAAATAAATATAAAATGTACCCAAATTATAATGTTAATGTTTATTTTGCAATTATATATATATATATATATATATATATATATATATATATATATATATATATATATATATATATATATACTTTGAATAAACATGTTTTATATATATATATATTTTACATTAAAATATCAAGCGTAATTCAGTGTGTTACTTGCCAAAAATAGATATATTTGTATATCAATGCATAAATTAAATAATTTATAAACCTTTTTCTAAACAATTATTTGCTTAATGCTTTGCAAAAAAAAAAAAAAAAAATTACTGCCCAGATAAACAAATGTATTCACATGTAAATAAATACAGTTAGTGTACTGCCATATCATCCATAAGGTTTATAATGAATAAGTATCTTCATTATTTATAAGGATAATATTCATAATATTCAACTACAGCAAAAAGACATGCAAGTGCATCTACACTATGTTTCCAGTTAATACTAAATCTGGGGTTAATGGAAAAAAAATCTACATAAGAGATGAAAGGGATAGGGGAGAGGGGAAAAAGAGAAAAGTAAAAGAGACACATTACCTGCATTTTCTCAATCATTTCAAATAAATCAGTAGTCTGGAAGAAAGGAGAGGAGATGAGATGAAATGAGATGAGATGAGTTTGGAATTGACCCTACAGTACATTCTCAAGATGTGAGGGGGTGTGGCTGAAAGCACATTAGACTGCAGCCGCCCAATCAAACTATTCCTATATTTAGAACACAGACTTTACAGTACTCAGACTGTAACCATACTTTCACTCTTGTAACAAACTTAAACAAGCAAACTCAGAGAAAAAATCAAGTTTTTGTGCATATATTTTGCAAATCTGCCTGTTTCTGCATAGCCATAACTTACAGTTGAAGAAATATTAGGCCTTCTGTTTATTTTTTTCTCCAATATATGTTTAACAGAGAGAAGATTTCTTCAACACATTTCTAAACATAATAGTTTTAATAACTCATTGTTAATAACTGATTTGTTTTATGTTTGCCAAGATGACAGTAAATAATATTTTACTAGATATTTTTCAAGACACTTCTATACAGCTTAAATAGCAATTTAAAAGCTTAACTGGGTTAATTGGGTTAACTAGACAGGTTAGGGTAATTAGGCGAGTTATTGCATAATGATGGTTTGTTCTGTAGACTATCAGAAAAAATATATAGCTTAAAGGAGCTTACTTACTTTTTAAATACTTCTGACCTAAAAATATTTTTTTTAAATAAAAAACTGCTTTTATTCTTGCCGAAATAAAACAAATAATACTTTCTCCAGAAGAAAAAATATTATCAGACATACAGTGAAAATTTCCTGCTCTGTTAAACATCATTTGGAAAATATTAAAAAAAGAAAACAAATTTAAAGGGGGGCTAATAATTCTAACTTCAACTGTATGTTTCATTGCAGTATCCAGCAGTAATAAACAATATAGACAGAAAAACACCCAAAACTTTAGTTGCTTTTGTTATGACAAAGGGTAGGGTTTGCCAGTTAATCAAAAGCAATTTCATGCGCACTTTGTCAGAAAAGTCAGTTAAAATAAAAAACAAAACAAAAAAACACGTATGAACATAACTGCGTAGGATAATTTCTTTTAATAAACTATGACGGCATCACAATTATCAAACAAATCCTAGCATGTGCATCAATTAAGATTTTGTTTTAACAGATCATCTGACAACAAAAATGAGAGTCCTAATGACATTAATAGACAAACCAGTGTCACATTACACAACATTTGAAATGTTGTCTGGTTCAATTTAAAATCCCTTAGCCAAAGTCTGTCTTCAACTTGGTTTCATATTATTATTACCTCCCAGAATTGTCTTGAGGGGTTAACGCTACCAAAAGCCACAGTGTTCATTGTGTTTTTTCTTCTGAGGCACAAGTAATTTATTATATATCAAAAATGGCCAACATTGGTTTCTCCTACTGCAGCCATTTCCAGACTTCTTTTTATATTTGCCGGCAGTTAATCAGGAAGCAACATTTTCTTCTCATTGAATGGAAATGGATTGCAAATGATTTATGCAATGTTTCAGTTTTGTCTAATTCAATTCTTTGAATGGAAAAATAGCTATTGAAATCAGTTAAGTCTTCCGTTTATAATGTAACACTTTGGCATTTTCCTGGGTTTCTTCTTCTTGGGTGTCTGGAGTTTCTTCATAAAAGCGCCCTCTGGCTTTTGGAGGAGATTTACAGCTGACCACATA